GGAGTGCATGCCAGCTGAAGCCCGCCTCAGGGTGTGAGATTTTCTCGCTGCGTTGAAGACCCACTGGTGGCCTTAAGGATGTTCGCTACTCTGTTCAAAATAACAAGCTTTTTAAAAGACTGATATAAAATGATAGTATGTAAATAACGGAACTAAAAAAGCAGAAAAAAATGAAGGGTCCGTGTGCTTGTTTTCGAGCTATAAGCCATTGAAAATTTGGCGGGAAATTATTCTCTCTAGATTTTTCATACATATTACATTGGCTCCTTTTTTCTTTCAAAAACTATGAAAAAATAACAAGGATTTTATAAGATTTTCAAATATGGCTTTTTAAAACTATATGTTATAAAATTTAGAAAAGAAAGGTAGGGGTTAGCGGGCAAAATTTTTAATGGCACTAGATGGATAAAACCAGAGGACTCCGAATATCTGGCAAAAAAATCAACAACAAGAGGAACGAATATCTTAAAGGGCTGTCTTCTGCTCTTTGCAATTAGCCGGGTTGATGTCTCTTTGACACATTCCCCGTTTCCATTCTCAATTCTATTACAATGAACTCTTTATACTGACAATATTATTCGATCACTGACACGCCCGTCATTATTCATTATGTTTATTTTTGTAACGGTGCATTTCAGTCATGAAATTAATTTGAATTTTCACGATAAATAAAATGCTGGTATTTTTTAAAGAATGTATTGAATTCTGTGTAAAAGCGGAAATATGAAACAGAACTTAAATTTATCAAAAGTATGTTTTATCTATGACATACATTAATTAGCAAAACATATTTATATTACACGGCGTTTTCTTACGAAAATAGCCTAAATTAGTTTCATCATTAAAATCTCATTTTTCAAGCCTGTCACCATCAATCATTTTATTGGTACTTAATGAGATCGCTATCAATTATAAAACGAGTAAATGATATTAATCATAAAAGTTTCATCCTTTCAAGATATACTTCTGGCGCGAATAGCAATTATCATTTAGTTGAAAATCAGAGTAAACCAACTACGAACCGATCATATGTACTTTTCCCAAAACCATTCCAAAACAAACTTTTGAGTTTGAATATCCCTGTGGTATCTTTTGCCACTCTTTTGAACCATGAACTATGTATTTGTATTTTAGCTATACATAGTACGATCTTCATTTGATTGCCCCAAAGGGTGACTAGGGAATAAAAATATGGTCACTTTGGTCTTCTTCCGACCGGCAGTAAAACCCTTGCCAAAGTGGGGCGTCCGTTTGCCTCTTCGGGATGTACAAGTAATCAGCCACGTTAAGAACCGGTACACACGATAAGATTTGTATCATAAGACTTTGAATTTTAATATAAAATCTTACCGTGTGTACACCCTTAATACAGTGTATATCTAAGTCAGGAACTTGTTGTTCAGTGGCTTCTTTTGTTGGTGTGGTTCATAGGTGTTTCTCATTTCTCGTTTTTTATATAGATTAGACCATTGATTTTCCTGTTTGAATTGTTTTACGCTAGTCATTTTGGGGCCCTTTATAGCTTGCTGTTCGGTGTGAGCCAAGGCTCCGCGTTGAAGGCCGTACTTTAACCTATAATTGTTAACTTTTTATACATTGTGACTTGGATGGAGAGTTGTCTCATTGGCACTCATACCACATCTTCATATTTATATTATAAGATTTTTAGAATTTTATACGACTGTAGTAAGGATAGAGCAATGCTCCTTAATACAAATCTTAGCTGACTTTTTATCTTTATCCAATCAAATTGTTTCATTATTGGGTCTTTTGTATGCATGTACCATATCAAATGCATGTGGTTCTTCCAAAAATGGCTGACTTCACAAATGGATAAATTAATAAACTCAGTTTTGGAGGGGAGAAGAAGGCACAAATTACCTTAAAAAGATTTAAAGCTACGTGGATCTTTCTTCTCAACTCATCAAATATAGCATGATCCACCAAATACTATATTTCTTTGTGTGATCAAATTTCTTGTCCAACATTTTGTTTTAGCTTTCCTTTTTTTCGAAAACATCGTTCATTTACAGAAATAAATCTCAATAAGTGTTAAAAAACATTGTCTCCCATTAATAGGGCAATTGACAGGAAAAGTATAACCATTATTACTATTTGTTTACAATCTTATCAGATTAATTTTTGCGAGTGTACAATTAAGAGTCTTATCATACAAAAAGTCTTATTAAACACATCTTATCGTGTGTGCCAGCTTTCGCAAAAACTCTTTGAGGGGTCGTAGGTGGCCGTAAGTGGCCTGTTGCAAGGCAAAATCATCTGTCCCTATCCAATGTACCCTCATTTTCCAGTGGCAGTCCAAATTTCCCGACCTTCATACCGTACGGCCTCTATTACAGGACCTTCCTATGGTATTTATTGTTAATTTGTTCTCGTCCTGAACATGCATGAAATATTTGCCACCGGACATTAAGCAACCAACAATTAATCAATCATAAGTTGATTTCACTTGAATGTATAAGCTAAACTAACTAACCTCAAAATTACATGCAGTATACATATGGACTGCATTACTTTTGCGAGCATTTTACAGATTAAACAGTTGACTGTGAACAACATTAGTATTTTGTGAGGTATTTTAAAACTTTTTTTTATTTTATCAAGCAGCTTGATTTAATTTTATTTCATAAATTATGTCATGAATTGTGTTGAATCTGAATTTCTTTGCGGAAGTTTGTCAAAGAAAAAAGTAAATATATGACAACAAATTATAAAGTATATTTTTGTATTACAAATTGCTTTTAATTTGTTATAAATATATTGGTTTATAGTTTATTAAGCAATAACTCTAATAATCTTCATATATGTTTAATGTGAAGAAACATCCAATTTAAATACTTCGACATTAATCACAATCCCTCTGACTGGGATATGTCAAATTATTCAAATGGAATGTTTTTTTTATTATGATTTATAGTAATGTTTATTTAGTATATGTGTATTATAAAGCAACTTATGGTTTAAACAAGACCTCTGAAAGCCAGATTTCGGGACAACATTGATATATAATGCATTGCACACAAAAAATGACACAGTTAAACAGACCCAAACAGAACATACTCAGGAAGAAATGTTTTTGTTTACATTGGTCAAATTACATGTCAGTACAATTATTTCAATTAACCAACGTACCCATGGTAATTGCAAACTCATATAATTTGAAGAGTTTTGGTGAAGTACGGGAGCGTAGCTACGATAAATCCGACTTATTGTATGGTAAATGTAGGCCGATTAGCGAGCAGGGAAAATTAAAGAAAGTACCCGTTTTGTGTAATTTTAACTCCTCCTACGGGTTTCAACCAAGTGTTTTGTTTTACTATTTTGAAAACTAGGTGTTGTTGGCAGATCCTTGATCCTTTATAATTTATTTCCCTCCTTTTTTTTCCTTTTTTTTTTTAGCTCGAGACGATTTAGAGCGTCGCACGATGTATAGAAACCCGTATATTCTTGACATGATGTTACCCTCTAGATATCGTTTGGTTATGTATGTCGTCGGACTGTTGTCTCATTGACGAATAACCGACATCTCCTTTTCCCTATCATACTTGGGTATACTTACAGTATAGGTTTTCATGTTACCAAAACTATGGCAGCCGGGTGCTGTCTATTTCGTGTAAAATACAAAGGCGAAAGCGAAAACACGAAAATGGGAAATCAAACTTTTCTGTTGGGATGCATAAGATGTATTTGCTGATGATATATTCAAGTGGGGTCGTCACTTGCTTTCATTTCGAGTTTTTTCTTCACCCAAAAACAGGTTTCAAATGTATAGTGCATTTCCCCCAATATCATGTAAACATACTACACATCTATATAAATATAGTTAAAGAACAATAACAGCACACATATATTTCAAATTTACAACATGAATATCGTCTGTTAAATTGGAAAATAATAGTTCATCTCGGTAACTTTAAAAGCAACTATGAATGCAGCTTATTTCATTTATTTGTTTCAATTTTAATTTATTTACTATTAAGTGTTTATGTACCATTTTCCTTATTATTCCTTTGCATTTAAATTAAATTTTTATTGAAAAGGCGATACACTGTATTTTTAAGGTGCACAATATGTTTTTCCTCAAAACTACCTTTTCCTAATAATTAAATTGAGTTCTCAAACAACAACAATTAACCAAAACAACATCTATTCAATTTATTTTGTTGGCATTCGAGGAAAAGATATTTTTTTAAATGTATGCATTCCAGGACCCGAGTACTTACGTATGAAAACTAATTGTTAACAATGACGGGTAGAGTCTGACATTTTATTTCATTACAGGTTGGCTGAACGAAATTCAAACACAAAATGATGATGATGGATGGCTGCTTAACGTCCAGCGGCAAATTGATATGCATATCCAGGACATGAACATGTTAATGTAATATGAATATTTACCCTGCTTTGTACTAGACCGACACGTTTAGCCGGATTATTAACGTGCTATTTCACAAGGTAACAGTCCGCAGGAAGACTTGTCACCTTACCCAGACATATTATTCTGACTCCGAGCCGACTAGTGTTTGCTCTCACTCCTTAATGCTGTGTACTTACCGGAGAAGCAGCAAATACCAATTTTAAAGTCTTTGGTTTGACCCGGCCGGGGTTCGAACCCATGACCTCCCGAACTAGAGGCGAACACGCTACCTCGAGACCAAGGCGGTCAAACAAACACAAAATGAGTTTATACATGTCTTCCTATACGAATGAATTATAGTCGTATCGTATAGCAGTAAAATGTAAATGTTTTTATCAAGTACGTTTAACTTAGTAATTTGTGAGTAAATGATCCAAAAAATGTACCAATAAATTATTATAATATTAAGATTTTATCATTTAAAGTTATGGTTTTTTATTGTATATCTATTCAATTTGAAAATACGATATTTGAACATGAGATTAATATTTACGACGATACTAATTTTTTCTTTGAAATTTCGTGGGAGGTATATCCTTATATATAAATAGAAAAACGATTTGACTTTCATTTCTTCCTTACTAATTGCATTTCGAAGGTAAGAAGATTGTATATTTTTTTTTATCAACTTCAGCTTTTAAATGAATTTGTTTGTTGAAGCCAAACAGTATATCAAAATTAATGTGTAAAATATGAATTTCAACCTACTTTATATTTTAGCATTGATAAAATATATACTTTGAGATATAAATTCAAAATGTGCTGAGTATTTAATTTTACTGAAAGCTCAGCCTCCTTAATCCGTTTCATAAATGACTTCACAAATTCTTTGTTTTTTTGTTTTTATTTGCTCTGTTGTTGCTTCGTGTTTGTTTTTTTTTATTGTTTTTTTCTGTTTTTTTTTTTTTGCAACATATTTGAATTAATAAAAGAATAAAAATATGATTACTTCTTAATATGATTATGCGTAGCAGTGTATCTGATCCATACGATAGGCAAACTTCACTTTGTTGAATAAATTTGACTTATAAATGATTCAATTCAAAGAGCAAAATTGTTTGGTGCTGCATTCGCCTGCTTAATACGTTTTAAGGGCATACAATACAGTTTTGATCCCACGGTGATTTTTTGACGAACATTTGCATACAAGCTTTTTTTAACCAGTCATTTCAACTATGTAATAAAAGATATACCTTCATGTGCTACTTTTACAGATAAATGGGGTCAAAATTTTAGACATTTAATATAAATTTCTGTTTCTTGGACCTGTCTATCCTTTGAACAGACATATCTAACTTTTTTGTTTCAAAAGATAATTACAAGCGGATTTTTGTAAAAACATTTGGAATATCGTTTTTACATAAGTATACCCTAAGTTGGTGTAACAATTCTTTGGGAATAATTTATTATTTTTTATTATTTTTTTATGATTTTAGAAAAAAAACAGCATTTTTGTTGTATATTTATCCAATCTAAAAAACATTCATCGGTGATTTGTTCATAAAACTTGGTATAAATAATCGTCGTCATGGTCATACATAATCAAGCCAATTATCATTTTAAAAAAGAATGTACTCGTTTTCAAACTAATGATTAAAATCAGTCGAAAAATGCACCTTTTCCCGATATTTCATAGTTTGACGTCGCGAAAAAAATAATATTTTACGTTAGCGACGTCATTTCCTCCCCTGTAACTGTATCGTATGCCCTTTTAAAACTTATAAACTTCAATTTAACCCCTTAGCTGTGGATGGGTTACGCATGTATTTGTGAGCCAAAATTTGTTCCTGTGAAAAAAGTTCCAGTGGAACTTATATCACAGGAAATATGTTCTGGGAGAACTTTTTTCACAGGTAATTTCTATATAATTTGTTCCATCTCTATAAAATAAGTTCCACACTTTACCTGGTGAAATAAGTACCGGGTTGGTGAAATTTGTTCCTTACCTAGTGAAATAAGTTCCGGGTTTATGAGATTTGTTCCTTACCTGTTGAAATAAGTTCTGAGTTTGTGAGATTTGTTCCTAACCTGGTGAAATAAGTTCCTTGTCTGTGAAATATGTTCCACTTGTTAAACAAGTTATCTTATATACTGAGCATTTGTCATCAGTGAGTTTAAATTTATCATTCAAGTGCATTATAAAAATGAGTATTATATTAATAATATAATAGATAAAAAGTTTGGATCCTATGGAGTATAGCAAATGTTTAATCATATACTCTGTAAAAAATATCTAAATGACACTTTTGAACCAGAAAAGATTAGAATAAGGAAAATCATTCAGAAAAAAAGTATACCGGTTTAAGAGGAACATATGTACTAATCTGAAAAGGACAGAGTGACTTGATCATTTATAAATATCAAAAGACATGTAGAAAAAAAAAGACACACTCTTTTGAAACTGTACATACTAAGTACATGTATGACTAGAACACGGGGACATGACAGTTAACAGGAACCAAGGAGGAATACCGCATAAAACATAAATACAAATTTGGATACATTACCATCGCTTTTATTTCTGATCTTCATCCTATAGTTACAGTCATGCCTTCAATTGCAAATGTATCCCATGCAAGTACACTCAGTACAGCATTCAGCTTGCATTATAATTTAAGTGTAACAAGAAAATGTTTCGGTGTGCAAGAATGATTGAGCGGAACTTATTTATTAGTTTCTATGAAATATTTACATGTTCGTTTAAAACTAATGTCACAGGAATTTATTTAAAACTTTTTAATATTAATTGAAACAAAATTCATGGAGCTATGATTATTGTACCGGAACTTATTTCACATGTGGCAAAAAAATTAGTTCCGGAACAAATTTTACAGTGCTGGAACATATTTTCTGTGATATAAATTCCGGTGGAACATATTTCCTATGAAATTTGTTCCGGCGGAACAAATGTCACGCCGGAACAAATTTTTTGTTACATATTCTGCTATTAAAAGGAAAAGAATGTCAACATTGAAAGTGGAACAAGGATGAACCATTTGGTTGACTGATTCGATCCACAAAAAAATCCTTCTTATACAGGTAAAATCGATGATAAACATACTTTTTAATCTACAATATGAAATCAAACAGACATAAAAAAAAATCCAATTGCACGTGGTCGATATCTGTTTATATTTATATTTATGTTTATATCGGGCTATATGACCGTCGGCAGTCTTCGCGGAGATCATCTCGATGGTTAATTAGATAACGTCTAGACAAAAATACACAAGAAATGTTGATACATATTATCGAGTCCATGCATTGTTAATTGTGTATTTAAGACTTTTTGTAATTTGGATATACGTTTTAGTATGTTATAAATCAAATATGAGAATTTGAATCAAATCAGTGAACATGAATTTGACAGCTAATGCCCCTTTAATATGTATCAGAGACATATAATACAATAATAATTGTATTATATGTCTCTGTATGTATGCATTAGAATCTTATCAAATTAGACCTTGACATTGTAGAGTCACATGTCTTTTGTTGAAGGCTGAATGTTAATCTCCTGTTGTCATTTAGTTTTTGGGTTGTTGACCATGAGTGATCTACATATACCCACAGCTCATTTTATGCATACACAGAAACAGCAAAGACAAAAATCGATTAACAAAACCGGTGTTAAATTATGTAGGAAACAAATTAGCATTCAGTACAGATCTACCAATGTTTATCCTGCTTATCTGATATTTATGCAAATATCGTGAAGTTTATTTTTGAAATTAGATAAAAATGCAAACGAAGCTGTAGAATTTTGCATCAGGCTGTCATACGTTTTAATAAGTCACATGTAGCGTACATTGCAGTTCATCATCTGAGTATGCTACAATAAGACCACCGAGACGGTTAAATCAATAACGGCAATATAAATTCATTTTGGAAAGATCAATGCTGTTCACTGTAAACTTTAATACAGATCGAGTGCGAGAGGTCGTTCGTTCGATCCCCTGTCGTTTCAAACCAAAGACTTGAAAAATTGGTATTTGATGCTTCTCCACTAAGTCCGTTGCATTAAGGGGTTATTGCAAAGACGGTTCGACTCGGAGTCAAAATAATGTGTATGGATAGGGTGACATGTGTTCCCGTTCTCAGTACGTTTAAAAAATCCGACTCGGCGTGTAACTGAATCAAGTATAAAGCAGAGTTCGTAGTCTTATCACATTGACATATCCTTCCTTATATGCATGTAATAATTGCCATTGGAAATTAAGCACAAATCTATCCATTCATAATTGTTTTTACAGATTTTGTTCTAATGATCACCTCAAAACAATGACTAAAGTGCCTTTATACGTAATAGAAACTAGGGGCGAAAAGTTCATAGCATGCGCGCGCAGTTACGTTTTGTACCTGGCAACCCTTAATTAGAGGACTCTTGTAATAAGTTTATCCTATGTTGTAATTTCAGGTTTTATTCAAACTAAATCTAAACATAGGAGACGAGTAGAGAATGAGGCAAAACACTTTAATAATAGTTCTGTTGTGTGAGTTACACCTATCATTAAGTTTAGCAAACATATGACAGAACTTACAGAAAATCAAGCTGAAGAAAAACAACAACATCAGAAACCATCTTGTATCAAACAATCAAAATTCATTTGAACTTTGGTGGATAGTTGTCTCGTTGGCGATCATACCACATCTCCTTAGTTTTATAAAACATAATTAAGAAAAAAATACCAATACCATACCCAAGATATATAATGTCAAAAAATGTAAGAAGGTTTCAAAGAGTAATTCTCATAAGCTTCATGACAAACAATATGGTGTCCAGAAGGAAACATACGAAAAGACAAACAAGTAAACAAAACTTAAGACTGAGAAACAAAGGGATTATCTCATTGTCAATTTGGCACAGTATAATGCAGAGAGACAAAGACTAGACTTGTTTCCTGTCCCTTTATCTGTTTGCAGGAAACAAAAAGATACCCTTATTTTGAAGGGAAAGAGAACCAGCATATAAAAAGAATAGTGCAACTGACTAATGCAAACGTTAGAAATAAACAAGTTATATAACAATCAAATTACAATAGCATCGGTGATTTTGCTGTTCTTATAACATCTTCGACAAATAAGGAAGTCAAGATAGCTTTGAATTTTAATCAAATTAGTTTTTATTAGGGATGTCAACTCGGTGAAGATTTACTAATCGAGTACTCGTTTGATTTACCGAGCGATAGTCGAATACTCGCTCGGTAAAACATTTACAAAATTGTACCATTTTATGTTTTTTGGGTCGTTGTCTTATGAACGTAAAACCCTCAAAATTATTACCTAGGACTAGATAATAGTCCAAGGAATTTTATACCATAATTAATAGCTCACTTACTACATGTACTAATTATGTAAACTGGCAATAATATAATCAAGAAATTAATTAATACCTATAGAAAAATGATTACTCAAACAACAGTAAACAAACACATTTAATGATCAACAAAGGGGTGATGGTTAGAACTTACTGATGCCTTCAATCATTTTCTAAGGGTCGACACAGAGTGCAACGAATTTGTTTTTATTAAAAAAATTTAACTTGTCAACTATTTCTTGGACGAGGCGATTTCTCAACTTATTTACGTAACTAACACTCCTGCTGATGAAAATATATGCCCTGACGGTACAGAGGTGAAGAAATGACTAAAGATAGCTTAAGTGTAAGCCTTCTTCTTCTTCCGAATACGGGAGTAGACTCCTAGTTAGGAGTGTAAAGGAAAGTGCTCTTGTTCATAGACTTCCTCTGATTGGAGGAATTTTGAAAGACATGCAGTTAAACGCAAACATTCGAATCGTAATTTTTTTTTTAATATTTAATTACCCGGGAGGCGCTCTCAATAAAAATATTTTTGTTTAAGCTTTAGAAAGAAACACCACTTTAACAGGAAACCGATTAATCGAGTATTATTTTAGTATTCGATACTCGGTACTACCGAGCGATACTCGAGTACTCGAGTACTCGTTGACATCCCTAGTTTTTATTGATGTCTTTGTGACAATTTAATCACTATATCTTTTACATGTTTCAATTAGGTCTCAATGTTAAATCAATTCTTTTGTTGGACTGTATCTTTGTCTTGTTCTAAACTAATTTAACTATAACATGTAATTTCGCCAGTTTTTAGTTTCTTGTCTTGATCTGTTAGGACCGAGTTAAACTTTTATGATTAAAATATCAGAATTCCGTCTTGGAGAAATTACGACTGGAAAAAATATATTTACACAATAGCTGACTACGAACCGTACATTGGAAATTAAAGCTTCAATAAAATCGGACTTCTTATCTTCAAAAAAAAAAATGGAAAACGTAAGATTATGAATTCTTACGAATTGGATGAGAAGTTTTTATTTATTGGTTTGTTAAGGTAAAGCGTTAATCGAAGCACATTTTACACGAAGCCTTTTCAAATTTTAAGTGATTGGGCGATTTAGATCATTGTATACTTTACAGGCATCTGTCTACTCTTGAAGGCCTTATATTGACCTCTAAATGTCTCCGTTGTGGGTTTTCTGTGTCTTTAGGTTGCTGTCTTTTCAGTATATATACTACAAATCTGGTTTTTTATATCCTGACCCAATTGAGTCGTCTCTATGATCACATATATGTTCCGTTTGTCGCAGCCAGTCACAGCCCATTGCTCGTGAACGGCGTATCACAAAATACAACTTATTAGCTAGCCTTGCGGTCATACATATTTTGAACACAATTAGCGTTCACAGACTCAGAAATCAATCAATCAAAATAATGGATTTTGTGTTTAAAGCACAAATATTATACTCCGAGTACTGCGTAAAGTTGTATGACCGAGGGCAACTGACGTAGTGGAGCATAAACTGCTTCTCCTTCGGGAACACCTGTGGTAGACTCAGATTTCAGTGCCAAGTCTTAAGTTTTCTGTGTATACTCATTTCGTCGTGTGAGTCTTACAGTGTTATATTTAAATAAGAAGATGTGGTATGAGTCACAATGTGTAAAAAGTATATATATGTCCACTTTTGATAAAAATGGAGGTAGCTATATTTTTGAATTCCAAGTGCAATGGTCTATCTTCCTATACGGCAACTATAATACGAGATTTCTACAACCTATGAGTTAGATTATTTATTTAGTTTAGCTAGTACAAGAATTTATATAGTCGCATGTTTTGATGGCCCCTTTTTGGTATCCATTTAATTTTGTAAAAACTTTTGACGTGTAAAATATAGTATGAAGTATGATAAAAAAAAAACAAGAAGAAAAAGATGTTGACACATGAAATTTGTTTCTTTAAATTTCAGCAATTTTTATTCCACACAGCGTGGAGTGTATGAAAATTAAAAAAAGGAGCTGCAGTTGTAACGATATATCATTGGTAAACACGGAACGACAGAAAAGGGCAGATAAATGGAGCGAATGCTTAGACATATGTATTTCCAGAGATTGTATAGCTGCAGGTTGTCATTATGAAACAACCTGCTCGGAGATGTGTGTTCCGAATGACTTTGATTCTTCCTCTCTTACCGATTGTAAAGTCACAATAGAAAAGGAAATAGAAAAAGAAGATAATGAATGGAACACATGTCGACGTCACTGTAACACCGAGTCCTGCCACCAAAATGAAACGTGTCATTTCAAGAATATTGAAATTTGTGGTTCGAGTATGGCCGTTGACATGTGTTTACCAAAAGCAACCGATATTACATAGTTCAATACATATATATATTTTTGTTTTCCTTAAGAATGCATTTTTCACAAGGTCTTTTCAAGGATTTGTATATGTATAGAATACAAATCCTTGGTCTTTTCAAAGTAACAAAAAAAAGGATTAGGGTAAGGAGATATAAAAAAATAAGGAAATATGGTACGATTGCCACTGATTGGTATGTTATGCATGTGCGGTGCCAGAAAATTAGAACACTAAATCTAATTGAGACCAGCGACTGCCATTTGTTCAAATATCTTTGTTAGACATTTTCTTCAATAAATAAGAATAAAGCAATAAGAAATCAAAATTCAGGAAAAAAATTGCTTGAGACCTATATTTTAAAATGCTAAATTTGTAAAAAAAAAAATAGATTAGATTTAGTGATTTAAGATTAATCAAATTTTTATTTGGATTTTAATTTTGTACTTGGTATCAAATTTGGAAAGCTTTATATTAAGTGTTGGATTCATGTTCTTACAAATTGAATAGAAAATGTATCAAGACTCATAGAACTTTATATCAAAAGATTTATAGATCTATTCTGAGTTATTGGTGCTGTTAAACCTTCTGACAAATAACAACCCTCCAAATTTGGAAAGAAAGTAAATATACGTTAAAATCCAAACTTTTCTGATTAGATTCTATTAATATACATGTATCCTCCAGAACTAGAAATAAAGAAACAACAGACACGGCTTCCTCTGCCTCATTTTTAGACTTATACATCGAATTTGAAATAAGCGGTCATCTCAGTACAAGAATCTATGACAGACGAGACGATTTTAATTGTGAAATTATAATATCCCCCACCTTAGCAGCAATGTACCAACTTCATCTGCATATGAAAAATACATTTCCCAACTCATTCAGAATTTATAAAACGTCACCAGTGTCTGAGCATAAAGTTGATGAACCAGGGCTGTGTCAAAGAAGGTCTCGTCCTTTTTCTAGAAAAGTTCATCAGAAGATACCATGACCGTGTTGATAAATATATTCCGTATCAACTTCACAAATAATACATGATTGTCTTAAAGTATAAATTCTAGGTACTGACATTGTTTATCACGTGTTGTAGTGTTCTTTTTATTTGTCTTTGTATATTTTTTCACCTTTACTGTTAAGTCCATTTTTGTTAATATCCTTTTGGCGTGGCTCGGTATTTATACATCCTGCCATTGTGTTATTGTGCTATGGTCATATTTTGTATTCTTGACTTTCAATTTTGCTTATGTGCTTTTTCTAAAGAGTGCTTTTATGCCATTTTGATTTTTCTTTGTTTACATAGTTGTTTTTTTAGTGTAGTGATTAAGATTATAACACAATGTGGACTGCTGTATCCAAATTTTTGAAATTTTTACTTATTATGTCTGTTTGTTCTGCTCACACAGTGGTGTCAGTATAATAGAATTCTATGCGACTGTCATACAAGTGAGTGGTTTGGTTTAGCTAGCTAAACGAAACAGGTTTAATCCACCATTTTCTGCATAAGGAAATGTCTGTACCAAGTCAGGAATATTGCAGTTGTTTTCCATTCGTTTGGTGTGTTTGAGCTTTTGATTTTGCCATTTGATAAGGGACTTTCCGATTTGAATTTTCATTGGAGTTCGGTATTTTTGTTATTTTACTTTATAAATACCAAATAATTATACACCGTCTGCTTAATTTTATACCAAAAGGGAAATAAAAATGACGAGAAATTGAATTTGACCGTCTTAGCTTCATAACATGAACATTCCACCAAATGTCTTAAATTAAAAAGTTGTACTTCCTCAAAAACACCTTTTTAATATGGTGTTTATGGATTTCTTGAAATATATCACTTAAATCTATTCTTTTGTAGGGTTACTTTTGAAATGCGTTCCCCATAGGTACATTAAGCGGCGTGTTCCCAAGAGGAACATTTCACTAAACGGTAAATATTAAAATGTGACCACCAGAGGAACGTTTTAATGTTCTCCAAGGACATTTCACTAAATGCTAAAATAGTTATGTATTATTAAGCAAATGCACTACTTGCGAGTTTCCGGTTTCTTTTAGAGTGGCTTTCCTCTAAACGAGATAGTTGTACAGAATTTGCTACCCTTCCGGGACACCTGATATCACTCCCGTTTTTGATGGGATTTTGTAGTTTATTTGAATTGATGTTTATCATTTTGCAGCTATTCTTTTAGCCATGGTGCTGTCTATTTCCGTCAACATGTTTTTCTTCTCTACCTTTTCAGTGAAAATCAGACAGCAGCACCACACGGGCCAACTTGGAGACATGTACTATTTATTAGTTTTAATTTAATTGGCTTTGCAATATCTTTCAGTAACTGGGAGTGCTATTAGATCGATATTTTGCGTCTTTTGTTTTCATATTAATTGTTTGTTTGCCTCGTACCAATTTGTTTACTTAAGCTAATTAATTCCGACTGATTTTAACATTTGTTTACAAACCCCGCAGATTTTTTTTTGTCTCTGTTCTAAATCAGGAGATTCAGTGGTTATTGTTGGTGTTTGTATTTTATTAAATTGTGTTATAGATAAGGCCGTTGCATTGGTTTTTCTTACTTAAATGTTTTATATGTTTTCTTGTCTGGGCCTTCATTGTTGAAGGCCGCATTGGGATATATAGATGTATCGATCATTGGTTCTGAACTTGTTACAGTACAGTAGTATTTATTGTCTAGTTGACAAATTCGGAATTTTGATAAATAAATTTCTAGGGTTTGATGATTCAGCTTAAAAAGTGAAGCAATTTGAAAACATGTACATACGAATATAAGGATCGGTACTAAATCGGCAAGAGTCCAAAAAGTATGAATAATACATTAAAATGAAACTATCATACCCATCAACACACAAGTACATGCAAGCAAAACAAATTAAACTATGAACCTATCAGTAACTGTACAGAAACTTAAAATATTGATTCTGTTCTTGAAATCGTGCCTTCCTACACCCTTATATTGGTGGCTGTACTTCACAGTAGATGTCATGCAGCAACGTAATAATAATTAATGGAATAGAGGCGGAAGTTACCAGTAGATAGCTAAACTCATAACTCGAAAACGAACTGACAATGCCATGACAAAAAACTAAAAACGACCAAAAGACAAACAACTGTCTACAAAACACAATATAGAAAACTAAGTAGATATAAGAAGATGTGGTATGAGTGCCAATGAGACAACTCTTCATCCAAGTCACAATGTATAAAAAGTAAACAATTATAGGTCAAAGTACGGCCTTCAACACGGAGCCTTGGCTCACACCGAACATCAAGCTATAAAGGGCCCCAAAATGACTAGTGTAAAACAATTCAAACAGGAAAACCAACGATTTAATCTATATAAGATACGAGAAACGAGAAACACTTAAGAACCACATCAACAAACGACAACCACTGAAACAGGTTCCTGACTTAGGACAGGTGCAAACAAATGCAGCTGGTTTAATTAAACGTTTTAACAGGCGCCAACCTTCACCCTAACCTGAAATAGTAGTGTAACATTACAACATAGAAAGACACACTATAAGATATCTATTGAAATGGCTTAACTCAATCAAAAAGACATATCAACAAAAACAAGTAAACATACACTGAACGAATAAATCAGATCTATGACACAATATAAATACAATATTAAGTAAAAAAGGGGGATGTAAAACAATGTAAAAAGACAATTAGAACCTTGGACAAAATGGCGTTAAATAAAATAACGTACACAGGTAACTTTAGATATAATAATTTTGTTGTTAGGAAACATCGAAATTGGTTGTTATGAAATTTTGCACACTTCTGATTCCTTATCCGGGTTTGATTTTACTTTTGTCCTTTTTCGTTTTATTAGCTCTTCAACATTTGTAATAAGTCGTTTGACCTTTTTATATTTTAATCGATGTGGTATACGCGCGTGCAAGTTCAGATAATTATATGGACTTAACTATCAAAAGTGTGCTCCTGACCGTGACGAAAGACACGAGAAAGAACGTCTGAAATCAATGCTTCATAAGTTTTTTGGTACCAGAAAAGTCGTCTGATATGTATATTTACCTAGTGTGTCCTATTCCCTATTTTGACAGTTTGACGGAGAGTGGGATAGCATGAGGGTGCTGTATGTATAGGAGGAGGCGCTTGCCGTCGCCCTGTCGATGCAACTAGTGTCACTCCTTTGCAGTTCACTCTTAAAATTGTATATGTTAGCGGCAATAAGTGAAATTAGGCATTAAGCTTAAACCCTAGGCAATAAGCTAACGCCTAGGCAATAAGTCTATTGCCGCCTAGGCAATAAGTCTATTGTCTAAATAGTGTGAGGCATTAATCTTAATTCCTAGGATTTAAGCTTAAATCCTGAAAAATGTGTCCAGGCATTAATCTTAATGCCTAAAATGTAAATGCGAGTAAATAAAAAAAAAACATTTGTTCAAAATTAAAACACATTTGGTACATAATAACATGATAAGAACTGAATTTTAAAAGTCAACTCCTTGAAATAAAGTCACCAGTTCTGACCACTTTATTTTTAAACTCGGGTATAACCAAAGCTGTAAATTCACGACCATTGTGATAATGCAGTTAATGGGAGGCACCAAAAAAAAAAAACATTAAAAATATGAAACCCTTAATTAAAACAAAAGTCACCTCTATTTAAGCACATTTTGACGTACAAAATATAATGTTAAAAACTTTTGTAAGTTGATTTTGGTATGCTATAAGACATTTATAGTTTCCATTTTAGTTTAATTGGAAATCAATTAAATCAACCTGTCCTCAACCGTTGAACTCTTCGGATAAAATAGCTTTCCATTCTACTCCCTTTCCTAAATACTTTTACATTTTCTTCATGTTACAATTTTCCCAAGTGAAAGACATTGTTCCATGGAAATATTTGCATAGCCATGGAATCAGAAGAAATATTACATTGTTGCATTCTTGTCTTTCATTTTTGCTTATGTACTTTGTCTATAAAGTGTCTATATGCCATTTCGTTTTTCTTTGTTGAAATTGTTATTATCTTTATAGTGATTTAGATTATAACATAATGTTGACTGCTCTACCCTAATTTTTGACATTTTACCTAAAATGTCTGTTCGCTTTGGTCAAACATTGTTGTCATACAAGTGAAAGGATTAGCTAGCTGTAAAACAAGGTTTAATCCATTATTTTCTACATAAGGAATCTGACAGTTGTTTTCCATTCGTTTGATGTGTTTGAGCATTTGCATGATTTTGCCATTTAATAAAGGAACTTATCATGGAGCTCGGTATTTTTTGTTATTTTACTTTGTATATAGTCACTACTAAGTTGTTTAAATCATACGGTCTCTGTCGCCATGACCTGTTTATATAGAAATAAGGACATGTGTTATGATTGCCAGTGAGACAACTATCCACAAAAATTCAATTGAAGTTGATGTAAGCAATTATAGTCAACATTATGGCTTTCAACATTGAGAAAAACCCATACCATATAGTCGACTATAAAATTAAGGCCCAAACAAGAAAAATATTAAATGTTCCTTTTCCAAAGTAACACGACAAAGAAAAAAAAATTGATTTTTTTTTCATCATTCTCATTTACTCTACTTATCAATCTTTCAAATAAAATCCCCTAAGGTAAACAAATGTCATACGTTTTTTTTTCTAATTGCAGAGGTCTATAGTTGCCATCTTTTCTGGGGATTCTAAAAGTTAAAAGTTAAAAAAATTATCATTGTAAAATCTGTTAAATTATACCAAGTGTATATCAATATTTGGAATACAATTTAAAAAATACTTTAAATCAAGAATATTTTACCGATTGTATATCTACTTGGAAGATTAAAAAAAATCCCAAAATTCATGTATTGCCTGAAATGATGTTTGGCAATAGTTTGAATAGTCATTATATTTCAGGAAATAAGCTTAATGCCTGAAATTTTCAGGCAATAACTTAATGCCTAGGCGTTAGATTATTGCCTAGGATTTAAGCTTAATGCCTAATTTACTTATTGCCGCTAACATATATATTCTAAATGTATAACTACGACATTTCAAAATTGGTAATTAAACGACTTTTGCCAGAATCTTAAATATATATATATATTAGATTGGCAGTGGTATAATGCTTTCCGGATTTTTTTCCCTCCGTTGCATCTACTTTAATTAGGATTATAAATGTGGGGATGGGTGCACTTAGATATCAATTTTTTTAAGAGATTGGCAGATGAGACACAAGTTCCCCGCCCTTTTCATATATTTTGATTAACAAAAATACATACCCTATCATATATTGAAAAAGAAAAAACATCAATAGCTATCATGATTGCGCTATTTTATAGAGAGATTAATAGGTTTGACAAATATCCGATGGAGACGCATTTACCATGTTTACGACAGTGGTTTTTAAATGCATATGTGAAGAAAAAAAATCGACATTTGATTATTTAAAATAATGTTTATATTGTAATATGCCCTTTGTGGGCCCCTTTAATGGAAAAATCTTCTTCTTTTTCATTGTGAGTTTGTATGTATGATTTTGGTGTATTGATTTGGTTCGCCGTCTACTGAGACATAATAAGATCATACATCCATAGGATCTAAGGGCCTCCATTAGCAAATCAAGTTTATTGTAGTATATAGACACTAGATTATATTGCAATATCTTTAATGCACAGAAGATTTTACTAGTATTATCAAAACCCTTGTTTACATTAATATTGGTGATTTATCAGAAATCTTTGATTTTAATTCCTACCAGATTTGTGACTATATTTCCTACTTGTTAAGTTGTACCAGATATTTATAAAGTAATATTTATGAGGGTCTGGATGAGGGGGACGGTCCCTCTATTCTTTTTTAGTTATAGCTCTAATTGTTTGCATTATGCCAGCAGCCTTAGAATTTTGCCTGTTTGCTGTAATCACAAGTTAATTTGTGCTTAAAATTTTCCTTTGCTTAATTTTTAGTTGTGCTTAGATTTTAGTTGTGCTTCAATTTTAGTTATGCTTCAGTTTTGGCATGTTTAGATGTGTAGTTTAGTAGTCACGGCTTTGCATGTATTTCAATATGCCTGTGCTGTATCTATGTATTGAAAAAAATTGCTGCTTATCATATATTATCATGCATGTTCTGTGTTTTAATGTTATTTATATGTTATTTATATTCGGTAAAAAGCCTCAAGAGCTTAGGTTTGTACTGTTATATGGGAACCGAATCAAAATAAAACCTTCGTATTCGTATTCTTTAATTTTGTAAGTAATTTTTCTGTAGTCTTCATAAATTTTATCCACTATTCTCTATTCTTTATTTCTTGCCTATTTTTATCTTTTTTTCATTTTTTGGGTCCATTTAATATCTGTAGAATTGGCCCAACCCTCGTACATATGTCTCGGGTTGTAAAAAGAAAGATAATTTCCCTGTTACTTTTTGCTCTCATATTTGTGACTTCAAGTTTCCTGTCTTTTTCAAGTGACGTGTGATAAAATTGAGAATGGAAATGGGGAATGTGTCAAAGAGACAACAACCCGACCATAGAACAGACAACAGCAGAAGGTCACCAACAGGTCTTCAATGCAGCGAGAAATTCCCGCACCCGGAGGCGTCCTTCAGCTGGCCCCTAAACAAATATATATACTAGTTCAGTGATAATGAACGCCATACTAAACTCCAAATTGTACACAAGAAACTAAAATTAAAAATAATACAAGACTGACAAAGGCTAGAGGCTCCTGACTTGGGACAGGCGCAAAAATGCGGCGGGGTTAAACATGTTTATGAGATCTCAACCCTCCCCCTATACCTCTAGCCAATGTAGAAAAGTAAACGAATAACAATACGCACATTAAAATTCAGTTCAAGAGAAGTCCGAGTCTGATGTCAGAAGATGTAACCAAAGAAAATAAACAAAATGACAATAATACATAAATAACAACAGACTACTAGCAGTTAACTGACATGCCAGCTCCAGACTTCAATTAAACTGATTGAAAGATTATGTCTTCATCATATGAATATCAGGCACAATCCTTCCCGTTAGGGGTTTAGTATCATACCATCATAACATATATGAGAAGAACATAACCCGTGTCATGCCAACAACTGGTTTTTAAATAAATGTGTTTAGTGCGGATGCAAAGACCCTATAAGTGAATCAATATTAACGCCAAAATATGCAATCTTTAATGACCTGACAACAGTATCGTAACTATATCCCTTCTTAATAAGTCTATTTACAGGTTTTGTTAGCTTCAGAGGTGAATACTGACATTTTTGTGCTTTATAAAGAATATTTCCATAAAAAATTGGATGTGAAATACCTGAACGTATAAGAAGTCTGCATGTTGAGCTATATTTACGAATGATGTCCTTATACCGATGATAAAATTTAGTAAATGTTTTGACTAGTTTGTGATATCGAAAACCCTGGTGTAATAATTTTTCAGTAATACATAAATTTCTCTCGTTAAAATCTAAAACATTGTTACATACACGAGCAAATCGTACAAGTTGAGATATATAAACACCGTAAGATGGTGACAAGGGAACGTCACCATCTAAAAATGGATAATTAACGATAGGAAATGAAAAATCATCTCTTTTATCATATATTTTAGTATTAAGCTTTCCGTTAATGATATAGATATCAAGATCGAGGAAAGGGCAGTGGTCATTGTTAGTATTAGCTTTATTTAAAGTAAGTTCAACAGGATAAATTTCTTTAGTATACACACTGAAGTCGTCATTATTGAGAGCCAAAATATCATCCAAATATCTAAAAGTATTAATAAATTTGTGTATCAGATGTTGTTTCGATGGGTCTTTGCTGATTTTTGTCATAAATTGTAACTCATAGCAATACAAAAAAAGGTCCGCAATAAGTGGTGCACAGTTAGTCCCCATTGGAATTCCGATAACCTGACGATATACGGAATCTCCAAAGCGAACAAAAATGTTATCTAGTAAAAATTCAAGGGCATATATAGTATCAAAGCATGTCCAATTGACATAGTTTTTTTGTTTATTGCTACTAAAAAATGACCTAAAAGAGTTTGAACATATATATTCACATTCTGACTTTTTAAATGCCCATTTAATTAGGTGTGTGAATTTTTTCTTAATGAGAATGTGAGGCAATGTGGTATATAGGGTAGAAAAATCAAAACTTTGAACAGATTCAAAATCACCAATATATGCATGCAATTTATCAAGTACTTCCAACGAGTTCTTGACACTCCAAAAGTAATTAATCCCACTATTTTCGAAGGCCTTATTTGAACAATTTATTATCAGGTTTTTGATACATGTTTTATAACTTATTCCAAAATTTATGATCAATTATCGAAAAGTTACGTCATCGACACAACCTAGAACTATATATCTTATAGATATTGGTCCCAGACACAATCTCTTATTTCATCAGAAAATCGGTCAATAGGTCAATAGTGAAATCAACCCAAAGGTATTCCCCTGTTGACATGCGCATTAGAAAATACACGTCGCCGGAAGTGGAATTTGACAGAATGCAAGAATTCGGTCAAGAGATGTTTTGCATGTTTTTGTGGAAATTAGACGCATTTTTATACTGAGAATGATTAAGATCACTTTATTTATAGCTTTGTTTTTATCAACTACGTTCCTGAGCATGTAAGTACTCCTGTTTTTATTCCATGACAATATCTTCTGACTGGTGTCAATCTAATATGCACTCCCTATTTAAACTGTTTTTTAGGGTCATAACAACTTCACAACTCTGCAATGAAGTTATCAATATTTCAATTTTTCAATGGTTTACATTATAACAACTACTGACCACTGCCAGTCTTCACAAGAAAATTGAGCAGACACAATCCCGATGCTAAATTTTTTGACATTTTTTTAGTGTTTTCTCACAATGACCCCAGGTCAACCAGGGCAGTTCATTCATAAAATCGAAATTAGAAACTAGTGTATTGGCCTGTAGTAGAACTTCTAAATCAAATTAAAAAGAGAAGGTACATATACAAAACAGTATAACATAACATGATAAGCAAATCAGAGTTTTTAAAATAAATATAAGAGGGTGGTAATGGGGATACCTTCATGCCGAATAACAGTAAAAAATCTTGCCAAATGACGTTAACGGTAACTTTTGGTGCATGACGATAAAATGAAGACTTTCTTCAAGACTATAAAAAATCGACTGATTTTGACGAATCACGTTAATTTTTTTTCCAAAAATAACGGTAACGATAATTATTTGAGACCTCTGACGAATAACGATAAGGATATTTTGATGAATCACGGTAAAATTTTAACCAATTTGACGCTAATGGTAGCCGAAAATGACCGTTTGACGCCTGACGGTAAAGGGCATTTATACCCTCATATCATTATATACATTTTAAAACACACATAAAAATAAGAAGATGTTGTATGATTGTCAATGAGACAACTTTCCATTTGAGACCAAATGATGTAGAAGTTAACAACCATAGGTATGTTATATGTAGGTCACTGTACATGGTAAAAACCCAACAGTGAGTTTACAAGCCTGTTGATGGACCTCTGAAGACTGCACTGCAGTGATTAGATTTGAATGGGTTATGCCAAATGTAATACACGAAACAAAAGACTTCAAATGAACTTTGGATCTGGAGCCCTGACCTCTGAAATCCTATAAGGATAGTAAGAATTTCATGGAATATAATTTCCTCTATAATCATAAATATATATATAGTTCCTAAAGGAAGAAATATTCTGGAATATTATTTCCAGTGTCAGAAATATTACAGTATATGTGCTAACAGAATAAAGGGTATAGAATATGTGTTCCAACAGATAGCATTGTTAAAACAATGTTTCCAGGATACGTGTACATGGAGCTTCTGTCTTGTCTGTTTGGAAGAACAACCAACTTTGACAGTAACAGTACATGTAGTTCAGGAATATCATTTAAAGTGGGTCTCATTGGGGTCTAAGCGTGACCCGGGATTGCCGATTTTTTTTAAGCGTGACACGTGAAAGTCAAATTATTGTGCCGTGAAAACGGGAAATGAAGTCTAGCGGGACACAAGATACAAAAAAATGAGAATTGCTTATGTACATAGTGTAAACGGGATACGGGAATCTGACAAAACAGTAAGCGGGATCCGGGATCAGAACCCCCCAATGAGACCCCCTTTAAACATACAATGTTAAGGTTTAAAATATGCAATGTATTACACTGTCTTTTTATGTTCAAGAAGAAGGATAAAAAAATGGGACAAAGTTGAAGAATTTGACCTATTTGGAGTTCCTTTGTATGAATGAACAGCTAGTTGGCCTGAAGTTTATCAGAGTAAATGTTGTCATTGACTCTATTAATGACTGTGGTGTAAAACTGTGAATTCAGAAATTTTTTATTGTTTTTATTATTGCACAAAATGCATTTGTGCAATAATGTTAGGTTTGCATTCATAATTTCAGAAGTAGTTTTCCTTCATAAAATTTTTGCAATTGCTTTAATAGATTTCACATTTTTGCTAGACACATGTAGAAGTCAAGAATTCACAATAATGAATGCACACATACATGTAATTGATTAATTTCTGAATTTACATTAACATAAGGCATGTAAGGATGAATATGACATGGGAAATGTATGGGAATCTTGGCGAATAGGAAAGTTGTCTATATGAGCTACACATGTATCCCTCATGGTATAGAACCACTAATTAGGGCCCTGTCAGAAAGAACATACAAGAACATAAAGAAAGTAGTTCCTACGCATAGCTGTAATTTTGTCAATAAGTAAAATATTTGGGTAATTTTGGTATAAAAGGAAAGCTAAAGGACTTGGAATCACTGCAGAACCCTTTTTGAAAGTTTCTTTTGAATAATAAAAAAAATATAGTTGTTCAGATCAGAAGTACCTGTTTTGGTACTACCAAACTTCCGGGAACCAGTGCAATTAAAGGTATCAGAATTTTTTCAGCACAAGTTAGGATAAGATATAGTTTTGACATGAAATGACATTCTTGAAATTGCAGAATTAAACATAATAGGCAATGGGGCTATGAATTAGTGCTTTTATTCCTCATTTGATAAATAGAAACGTGCAAATTTTTCAGAACAATTTCCCATTTGTCTGGTTGTGCCCAATTGCATCCTGTTACATGTATACATGTACATGTATGACAAATATTTTAGATAAGGGATTCGTTCCTGGTCTGTAAGATACAAAATTTTAAATGTCTACTTAAAAAAAAATCTTCCCATCAATGTGATATTTTGTCATCTAGGCAGAAACTATATGTCGAAGACCAAGAGTGATTATTTCGCATACAATTTACAATGTAGTGTACTTGAAAATTTACTTCATTGTGTTGGAATAACATACATATGCATGTATGAAATCAATCTCTATGCATGAGTCATCATGACATACACTGATCATGTATGTTTTATTAGGTTATATTGCACAAGACCAAAAATTTGGTAAATCAATGCGACCATGTTGACTGTCAAATACAAAAAGGTCAGACAAGTTGAAGAAGGATTGTATATCTTTTTTCACATTTTGTATACTGAAAATATCACTTTATGTACACATTTGACAATTAATTTCTATTGTCCATGTACACAAAAATATATCTCCTGGGAGAATGCCTTAATTTTGCTGATTTGTAGAAATCAGATGATATATAATACCCTTTCTAGCATTAAAAAAGATACTCCTGGCATAGCACACCAAATACCGGTACTATAATCACTACTATTTATATAGTTTTATATTTATAACTTGAACTTTTTTTACATTTATGTTTGTTTCTCTGCATCAGATACTAGGAGGTTTGTTAGAGCTCTTAAGCTCACAATCCTAGAGCATCACCCCTTGGTACCTGTTGCAGCTTAGCAATCAATTACTGTAAATTCAGAAATTATTGCGAGGTTTTTATTAATGCGAATAATGCGACTGAGCGAGTATCGCAATAATAAGAACTCGCATTCTGACATCTGAGACATATAATGTATTTAGCTTTTCCGAAATCGCAATGATTAATCTCGCATTTGTGATAATTATTCTAAAATCACAATAATAAATGCACGCAATAATTTCTGAATTTACAGTATATTTATACATTTCCAGCAAAATACCATATTAAAAGATAAAATAAAAGCAACTGCAAATAAAATCAAGTGAGAGGACATCTGCCACATCTCTGGAGAAGCAATTCTTAAATACTTTTTTATGCCCCCAGCCGCGCGCAGCGGTGGGGGCATTAAGTTTTACCCTTGTCCGTACGTCCCAAAATTGGTTTCCGTTCTCTAATTTTTATTTAACATCAATCTATATCAATATTTCAGGTGTATTATATGAATGTCATGTAAAATACTGTATGTTGTACAGATTTTATTTGCTATATGTGTATGCCCCCCTGGTGACCTAATTTGGAAAAATAAAATATCTTGTCTTATCTTATCTTATAGTGTTTCAACTTAAAACCCCTTAGTATTGTAATGTTCAGTCAGTCATTCCCAATTGCAAGGTCGCCAACCATTGGGCAAAGACCAGTAAAAATTGAGTTGGTCCGGTTAAGTGATATGCATTACTGGACCAAAGGACCAGTTTAATTTTTAATTTTGTCCAAATCATATATGTAAATGTCCTGTAAAAAAGAGTCTGGTCAGTTAAAGTAAGAAGAATGGTTTACTGGACCAAATGTCCAGTTGATTAATGGAAGTCTTGGGAACCACTGTAAATGTAACATTTGAGTCTTTTATCCAAGTTTGAAATGAAATAATTCATTTTGTCATTGATTTCAATTATAGTTTTTGGTTACATCATCTACTCCTAGTCTGAAAGCATATAATTCCATGTACATGATGTATGATATATAAAAGTTACACATTACTTTAGCATACATTGTACATGTAAACATGGAACTACAATGTATGTATTGGAAGGAAAATTTAAATTTAAAATGAAATTTTATTGAATATATATATTTTCCATTTATTAATTATTCATAAATATAAGGTCTATGTCAATGTATGTCAAGTATAATTATTTTCTTAAAGTTTTTATTATGAATTCCTATAGATTTTTGAATATATTTTCCTTTTATTTATTATTTATAGATATAAGGTTCATTTCAATCATTGTCAATTATATTTTCTTAAGGTTTTGATAACCTATTGAGTTCCTATTGATTTTTTAAAATAGATTCATTGAACATGTTTGTCCTTGTTTCTTAATGATTTGTTACCTTTACCTATATATACATGTATGGTACATGACCTTAGTATTGGCATGACTGATACATTTGTATATATATACAACATGTTAGCTGTATTGATTAATACCTTCATGCTAAAGTTGGCTTTTCTTTTTGAAAAAAAAAAATAATGTGCTTTATAAATGAGCAATCTAAAATTGCTGGTTTTTAAAGCACATTGTTATGTTTGACTTTTAATAATGTGAATTTTGCTCTGGAAGAAATTCAGATACATGCAGACGTACAGAAAATTTGAACGTGACTTGATAGAGAAATTAATGAGTATACACTTTAAAAAGGGAAATTACCATTTAACCATTTTATTTGTAAATCTAATTGCCTGATCAAATGTTCATCTTTAAATACATAGAAAAGTTTTGGGGAAGACTTCAAGTTCGTTTTCCTATTTTATTTACATGTACAAAATGTATAATTTCACTGCTATGTCATGTTCAACTGGTTATGTTAAAATATCTATCCAACAGTATTGAATTCATTTGTATTTTTCCCAGTGGAGTTTCAAACTTCATGTACTTCATTGCAGTTGACGCAATGTATTGATATATTGGATAATTTTCTGAATTGTTACTTTAACTGGTCATGGTGCATGTCCAAAATTGTAAAATTAAATAAAAAAGGTTTTATCATGATCAAGTACAAAAATTTGAAGAAGGAAATGAAATTTTGATTAGGCATATATGCAATGACATATTTTTGCTTATGGAGAGTCAGTAAGAATTTTTAAAAGCTACTGAATTAATTATATATATAAATGCATGATAAACTAAGCTAAAGTATACAAACTACATGTATATCATATGAACTCTGTCATACATGTTATAATGACCATTAGGATTAATTAAGATAGTAAATTTTACTGTTGACATTAAGAAAATTACTGGTCAACCTTGTTTCCTATTTAATAACTGAAACAAAATGTACATTATTTATCAACACTTAACTAAGACAGGAAAACAACACTTGATCAGATTATTAAAGTTAATGTGGACTGTCTAGAACTAACTAGCCTAAACATGTAGGTCACAAGGTCAAAGAGGAAGATCACAGCAGCCAATTATTTAATTGAGCTATATAAGGGGGATTAATTACATGTTCATCATTTGAATGTAACTATATTATATACATCCAGTAGTTGCTGGAATTTGGTAAATAATTTTCCTCTCGTGTATGACAGGTCTCTGACCACTAGAATGAAGGTCAAGATTTAGAGCATCTGTACAAGTGGCAGTAATTAAGGCAGAATCAACTTCTTCCCATATGACTTACATTTTTGTAAATGCTAGAACAAACTTTTACAAATGAAAATTATGTATTATTGTTTAATTAAAAGCCATGTCCATTGTTGAAGATTCTTCATCATCTATTTTGACCTCTAGTAGATGTCTTTTTGTCCCTGGTGCAACATGTTGAAGGTGACATAGAAGTACTGGGCCTTCGTCAGGTCTTGTAAGTGCTCTCACATGTACAATTATTGCCAGATTTGTATAACATTTATATCAAATGTTTATATCAGCATTGTCTTGGGCAAGTTCGAAAATCAGTGTGGATCATCTAGTTTTAAAAGAGTTATTGCCCTTTGAAATATTAATTATGTATAAAATTGCATTGTAAGTGCTCTTAAACCTACATTTCTTGAAGGATTGTTATGAAATTTTTATTCAAAGGTTTATATCAGCAATGTCTTGAAAATTGGAACTCTGTTCTTTTATTTTGTCTTTGTGTTGTTGGATTGTTGTCTCATAGCTATAGCTGGATACTCAAAACAATGTACATGGTATCTTTTATTCATATCATACATTTATGATATATTGATAATATTGTACATGTACATGATGTAATTAGTCAATCCTTGGTTTTAAACTTAGCCATTTTTAAAATTTATACTTGTTAAATTTTATATCTTCATGTCATCTGCATACTCCTTTTGACATATATATGCCAAAGTTCATGCTCTCAATAATAATACCCCCCCTCCCCCCCCCCCCCCCTCCCCCAAAAAATCAAAAAAATCTGAAATACATATAGATTAAGCATGTGTCCAAAGCAATTAGGTACACTACAGTCAGTCAGTAAGTAAATCATTTATCATAGTGACATGTGTAGATATGTACAAATTTTAACAATATAATATAAAGAGGTAAAAATACACCCATCCCAATGGACCTATAAGCATAAGTCACCTTAAATAATATTAAACATTTTCACTTTCTTGCAAATAACAAACTATTCAAGAATTTATTTTCACTACGTGTACATTGTTCTTAAAATTGGTGTTAAAGTTTCATTTAATATTTTAAAAACCAATCACTAGTTTAAGAAGAGGATGCAATGTGGATGGTGGAACAAATATTAAACTTTGTAAATCGATGAAAATTCTATTGCTAGAATCTCCATCTGGTATAAATTTTACACAGTATCCTTGTTATAGCACTGGATCACTGTAAGAGTGTCTAGACTTTAGTGTCATGCTTTTAATTTGATTGAATGATTTATTGGGTTCCTCCATATTTTAAGATAGTTACAAGTTTTGAAACAGATGACAGGTAGTTGAAAATAGGTCCAATAAAAATGTAAATGGTCCTGTATCTTAGTAATACTATATTTATCTAAGTTATATCTATTGTTAACTGTGTGAGTTTTTTTTTTAATGTTGTAATTAATGACATTGTTTACATTTTGAACATGTGTTTTAATCATTTTTCAGAACATATGGCAATGGAAATGAGAAATTAACAACTGGTACAATTCAGGATGAAACTATAAAACAGGTATGTATACGTGTTAGTTTTTAGCTGGTCCAGGATGTCAGACGACATTGATTGTCCTTGTTAAAGAACAAATGAAGAAAGCATTGCCATTTGTTTATTTGTCTAATATACATTGTATTTGTACCATTTATTTGTGAATACTATCATGACTATAAAGTCTATCAGTGCTATCTGAAATGACTTGTGTATAGCTTTTGTATGGATCATTTAAGGAAAAAGACCCTATTTCAAAATCCCATGATTTACCAGGATATTGTGTTAAATTTATGAGGATAACACTGTTTTATCCTTTTCGTTGTTCATTATGTGGGAAATACATGAAGATGTTCTAATCATTTTTGAAGGAATTAGAATTTTCTCAGTTGTATTACAGAAGAAATTTTCTGAAAACCATGACAGCAAAAATAATAACATGCACATGCCAAAAATGTTGAAGTGAATTCTTATATATAATGTGGAAATATTTTATGTTGATAATAATGGCTATATACATCATTAACATGGTATATATATACAAACATATGTTCAGTCTACGACATACATGTATAACATACATATATAACACGGTTTTACATTGTTTACAGTGCATGATACATAATCCATAAATGTTGTAAAAATTGGAGAAATACATTGTTTCTGTTCAATTTATTTACATTTTTTGTAGACTCAGGATGATTAAGAACTAGATTTATTGCATGAACACAAGTAGAAAGTTGAAAACTGTATTTTGCTCTCTTGGTGTCTTTTGGTTATTTTTGTTGTTGGGCTGCTGTCTTATTGATGTTCAAAATATGTACCCCACAAAATACATGTAGATCTCATTTTTTTGTACATGCCTTAAAGCCTACAAAATTCAAGAAGGACTTGCGAATGTTACATTTTGACATTAAAATCTAGAAATCCCTAAGGCTTTGAAAGTGCCTAAGTTGCAGGACTAGTACATCTTTTCAATGGACATCTGAAAATCATGAAGAATAATTCCCTCTCAGTTTTGGCCCAAAAAAATATTAATAATTATTGTAAAAATTAGAATTTCTCAGGAAAATAAAATTATTATATTTTGATAGTAAAAAAGAGAATGGAAAATGAAATATTCTCCACCTTTAAAATGTTGATGTAACAGTTTAAATCTTGTTTCTTCAACATATTCAAAGGGTCCTGAAATGACATAAAGTTCACATGTGTAGATATTTGTTCTTTTGTGTACTTTCAAAATATTTACATAGATATTATTCGTGAATTTAAATACAATTTTGATTATAATGCATTGACCTGTAATTAAAGTTAAGGATCAAACATTATCATACTGTAGTCCAAGACTGCTCTGACAACAGACAGCCTTTTTAAGCTCTTGCTGGGTACTACTGATGTCAGAGGGCAATCAGTATAGAAAAAGGCCCTATTCTGTACTAAAAATGATGTCAAGCATCAGAGTAATCTGAGTCTAGAGTATGATTAGTTATTCAGAATATTGAATATTGTGATTATATTTTATAAATAAAAAGAAATATGAGATCATGTAATCCAAGGCAGGCAAGTGTTTTAGCTTGTGACAATTTGGACTGTCTTGTGTTGGTGTTTATCCATTGTTGAAGGCCATATGGAGAATCTACATATGTTTACTGTTATGAACATCTGTTTAGTAATGGGTTTACATCTCATTGACGGTACATGATCCCATATTTCTTTTTATTTATAAAATATAATAATGATAATCGATATTTGAATAATTAATCAGCATGGCAAGATCTATCTACTCTGAAAATTTGAAAACCCTTTTTCATGTTTTTGGAGTTAATGCAGCTGAAATGTTGATTTATACAGTTTTGGCTCTTATATAAAAAAAACTTTAAGAGCCTGATTAAACATGCAAATTGCAAAAATGATCAGCAACACAAAGAATAACTATAGTACATGTTTGTCTCACTATGTGCATATAAAAGTCCTAATCACAAAACTGGCAATTGTTTTACCAGGTGAGACATATATAGACATAGGTGTGCCTCTTGTTTGTTGTTTTTGAAAATATTCATTTGACCACCTCATGGTCTTTACTCTTATGACCTTCAAGATTTCAAAGAGGAAGGGCCAACCCCTAATTCATTTCATTCACAGGGTCAATGACAAAATGTCAAAGTTTTTAAGACTTTCTAGAATTTGAATATGAGTCTTTTTAAATGATCTTTAACTTATAATGACCTGTGAATAAGGCCAAAATATTGGGCTGCCATTTTTATGTCTTGTAACTTTTAAAATTATAAATAATAGTATTTATATATACATGAGACATATTGTAGTTATCATTTTTATATTTTGATGTTAAGTTTTAATTTGGTGTTTAACCTTTTATATTTAGGGGTTGCACCTTCTTATTTTTTTTGTATTTGGTGCCTGTATCCACTTCCCGACATTTAATTTGTTACTTATTAGAGATGAAGGAAGATGTCACATAAACATGAAATTCTGAAATAGATTAATGAGGATGTTTGCTGGTGAAATTCAAAATAAGGATATTTTCATATACATGTGGGTTTTTTTTTATAATAGATAATGTTTATATATTATACATAAGAAGAAAAAAGATGAAATTTTAAAATCTGTGCTTTTCAAAAATGTAAATTCTTGAAGGGAAAAAGATGCTTCTGGATGATACCGTACATGTAGGACTATATTTTCAACAAAAATTGATTAACTTTGACTAACTATGTCAATTTTTGACTAAATATTTCAACAATTATAAACATCAGTCAGCTGTAGAATATTGTTGATTGATAATCTTAGATAATTGTTACAACACTACTATCCCCTCCAATTATGTTTATAAAAATAAGAAGATGTGGTATGATTCTTTATTTAATTTATTGTATTTTATCTTTATTTTTATTCTAGATTCCTATTGACCCAGGAGGACAAAGTCAGGAAAAAGTACCACCTGAAATTATAGTTGAACAGGTAGAATTAGTTACATGAACATTTCATTTGTGTATGTCACAATAAAAGCTGGAAATTAATTGGAAATGAATACATCTTTTTTGTATTATATAATTGAATCCATAGGAAGGATCAATAAGTGCATTAAGATTGTACACAAAACCTGTCAAACTGTCTGCATTACTTAAGCAGACTTATGATACAAATAATCAATATTTGCTATTTAATCATGACACAATATTCATCCTGTTCATCAGATCAAATATCATGTCAGTGAATAAGAAATGATATTGGTAAAACCTTACAACCTAACAAACACTAGTCTTACAATATCCATCTTTATTTTAGCCCTACTCTTTCTGTAAATTTGCTATTAGAACATTTCCAGATAGAATTCCCTAAGGTCTATTCCAGAAAAAAACAATATGGGGGGTTCGAAGGCACTTTTTATGCCCCGCAACTAAAAGTTGGGGGGAATATTGTTTTACCCTTGTCTGTTTGTCCATCTGTCCCATTATGGGTATATAGTTATTCCAGATAACTCCTCCTACAGTTTGAATGCTTTGGAAGTTTTCACTTTGCTGGCTCTTTGTGCATATATTAAAGTGTGCATGTGGTCAGGGTTATGATTTTTATTTATATTTGCTCTTTTGGGAGATAGTTGAACATTTTTGGAGTACATACTTGCATTAGAGGTGCATAGCGTTTCCTGGATAACTCCACCTAAAGTGAACCTATTTGCTCCCATGCTCAACTTTGTGTATTTTTAAATAACACTTTGCATCTGTGGGGGCATCATTTGTGTCTCCCAGACACAATAATATCTCAAAGAAAGTCCTACATTGACTTTGTTATAATACAGTTACTTCAGAGTGGAGTGCGGGGCATCACTTTGTCTAGTTTTGTATGGCCATCTCCCATAAAATTGAATTTTACCTAACATACATAACCACACACTTTGAACTCTGTGACCTGCCCACACCTATACAAAAATAGTTCAAGTGCTATCCAACCCCCATATATTTTTTTTCTGGAATAGCCCTAAAAATTAAAAAAGTTTTCAAAATTTACTGCAAACATGAGAGACAAACTTCAATATATTGTTACTTGTGAATATTTGAAATGTTTGTTTATTTATAGATTAATCATGTTTTTTTTTCAAATTCAAAAGGGGGGATAAGCTTTTACATTTTGTCATTCATTGTACATGCTCCTTTTAAAACTATCAAGTATTTATAAACATGTCATAAGAGTTACACTTTTTTATGCCCTTATGCCCTGCCTATGATTGTAAAGTTCATTAAGCCTTCTGGTCCGTCATTTCATCCATCCCATATCAGGTTAAAGTTTTAGATTAAGGTACATGTAGTTTACCATGAAGTTGTATAGTCTCATCACATGTCCATTTATGTTGTGGCATTGTGTCATGTGTGTATGAGCAATATTTGAATAATACTGCATGTACATGTAATTGCATATTCGATAAAATCAACAATACATGTAAATGATAAATAAATGTATGACAGTGAAATTTGATCTGATAAGTTTTTATCAATACTGCAAATAATAAAGGTGTAACTATAGGTCATTATTTTCCAAGCTGTTGCGCAATTTATACACGTTTATGCATTGATTTGAATTTAAAGAATAAGTCAAATATATTATTAATGTAAGGAAAATACATTATCCATCAAAACGAATGATAAATTTAAGGAATCAGATTTTGTATATATATTTTATTCATGTTTTTATTAAGAAAATAAAGAAATAAATACTAAGTGTGCTACATGTATAAGAGCTTAACATGCTTTTTTTAAAAGCTATTATTGTTTCCGCACAATGCTGACTGTAAGAAAAATCAGCTATATTTTCATTCATATATAATCATTGCATAAATGTCTCAGAGTAAAACTTTTTTTACAAATTTTTAGCCAGGTAGTTCTTGTTAAACCTGAACAAATAGGCCATGTAGTGAATAGACTTTAATGAGACCTTAAAGACAAAAATCTGTAATTTAATTTTAACAATTTAAATGGAAAGCTTATCATAGGTCAACATGACAACAAAATAAATACATATGTACTTTGAATAGTGACCTCAATTATTTTTCTAAGGTTATATGTAGGTCTTGTGGATTTTTCCTGTTTTTGTTGGACAGATACCCAACTGTTCAATGAAAAAAGTCCTGAATGACATGGATAAATATCTGTTACTTGTATTATACAATCGTTCAAATTATCAGATTCACGTTGACATGTTTGAAGAGTACAAAAAGGGATGGTCTGTCTTTTGTGATAAACTTTTGTAATCTGTTGTCAAAACTTTTCTACAGATTGTCCAAATTAAATCCTCTGATTATTTTAAATGTTTAATGTTTAAAAATCCTTCTTTTCTCATGGGAAATTTATATGAGGTGTTATTTTTATGTTTTAAATCAAATATATAATTTATCTTTTCTTAGTATACTGTTATGTGTGAAATTTTCATTTAAATTGTAGATTTTGACTGTTCTTGTGACAGGAACTAAAGAATACAATAAAAAAGCATAAAGACCTGGGAGGGGGAGTTGACAGGGGTCAGCATATGTTCTTTAGTAAATATAAAACAAATATAAAAATTTAAATCAATGTCATCCCTCTAATCTAGACAAGTTGCAAACTGAATGCAAAAGAGAGTACCAAGTACCAAAGTATCTGCAAGCAATACAACCAAGCTATAAAAGTTATTAGGTGTCAAAATGTCCTTTCTGTAAAGTTTTTGCTTGTACATGTTGTTATTACTGATTTTTTTCCAAAATTTTGTTGACTTTAATTTTGGTAATTGAATATGATCAGATTATATAATTTGGCTACTTTAGTATTTAAAAGAAATGGCTGTTATTACTGTACTGTAAGTATTTTTTGCTTTTATTTAGACTTAGTTTATTTGAGTGTTTCAGTAGAACTGATTTCTTTTTCTCCTAAGTGGCAAACTTTACTGTCAAATGTCTTTTTTTTGTTTTTTCCCTAATGTAACTTTATTTCCTTTTATATTCAGATTGATGAAAAAAAGACAGATGTTGAAACAGAAAAACAAGAAACACAGACAAAAGAAAAACAAGATAATGTGTAAGTTCACAGTTTAGGATGAATAAAAGGAGATGTGGGGTAACGTCAATGAGACAGCAATCCAACATCAAATGTTACCAAAAGACATCCAGATGGCAATGTACCGTGATTACAAATCTGCCAATAAAACACATTTCTCTAAATAACCAATCAGATTTTACACACCACAACTTATAGCAAGGTTCATATTTTATTTTCTCAAGAAAATGACAAGTTATTCAGTTGATGGTCAAAATCTGGATTTCGATGTTACACCATTTTCTACTGAAGTCACTGACCAGTTTTGTGTGCCTTTCCTAAATTTGTTTTAGTTAGTCATTTCTAAAAACATTCAATTTGTACATATTGCACTGTTGTATAGGTTACAAGCAAATTATTTGAAAATTTTTCATTTTGTCCTTGCTTTTAGAAAAAGAAACACTATATAAAATAAAACCTTTTGTATTGTTTGAATTGGAAGAAATTGCCAGTAGCACGATACATTGACATTAATACTACAAAAATGAGATTACTTCTAAATAAGATTATTATATAAATATTATAGTCATGACAGTGAGTAAGTAAATTATTTATTATAGTGAGATGTGTAGATTTAGTACAAATTATATGAAGATATAATATACAAGAATTATAAGTACACTTGGCCCAATGGACCTATATTTCACTTAAAATAATACAAAACATTTTTAAATATCAGAGTCTTGCAATGAACAAGTTATTCATGAATTAATTTTAGTGTTAATTTAAGTTAATTATTTTAGAAATCTGTCAATAGAATTACACCTGGAGCATGCAAGTTTTCAGTTGTGATTCACAAGTTTAAAAAAAAATGTTAATTTAATATGTTTTCTTCAGTGATGATTTATCAATTGAAAAGAATTCTTTTTAAAATTTAGTTTATATTGGAATGGCACCCTGAAAAAAAAGACTGCACATGCCACCTTAAACATGTACATATTATATTGAATCACCTTGTGTGTATTGTAAATATTATTTAACAGTGAGCAGACTAGACCACAGGTGGAACCTCCCGTCACCATACAGACTGAGAAGCAAGAAAATCAAGATCCAATAGAAACTGTAACAGAGAAAAAAGAAACTGAAAATCCTCAAGTCAAATCATTGAAGTAAGATTTCATTGACTTTTTTTTGGCATCTGTCTTATATTTCATGCATGTACTAATAACATACGCTACTGTCTTATATTAACCAAAAACTGCTACAACATTGTACAAAGACCAATAAAAAATTTCATATAATGCACATCTTGTATTTATCATATTATACTGTCTTCATTATTTTCGTGGATTGAGGAAAAATTGTAGTTTCGAGGATATTTAAATTTGTGGTTTGCCAAACTCTGAAAACGAACCTATATTAAATTTGTACTTTGTTGAATTTTTATTTTCGTTGATTACCTTTACCCATAAAATCCATGAAATTTGTATCCCAACGAATAAAAATGAATCCACAGTATTAAAAAAAAATCTTGATTTTAACAGAATTGTTACATTATATAACTTGTATTCTACTTTAATTGCATTAAAATTCAATGTAATAAAAAGAATAACTAAACCAAAATAAAGCAGTCTTGATTTAAACAGTATTATTACATCATGTACATTGGCTGCCTTGAAATACCATGTTTTCCAAGTCAAATCAAAACTGTCTGATTTTACGTCTGACAGAAATTCTGTAATTTTATTTCTCTGAGGTCAAATAGCAGTAGATTTTGTAAAGAGTTGCTTCAAAGTAAAATGAAAACACATAAGATAAGTTGAGTTCATTGCATTTTCTGATTTATATTCCATTCAATGTAAAAAAAAATGAAATAGTAAGAATTTAAATATTCAACCTGTGACCAATAAACAGTTATAACTCACACGTTCCTTAATTAATGTGTTGTTTAGTCACTCATACCATATTTTCTCTATATTTTTTCATGGAATTTATACATATTTATTCTAGATTAAAGTGCATAAGAGGATTTTCTCTACTCTTATAAAAAAAAAATTATTGGATTTTATTGCATCAAAATTTCAAAATATATTTGGTAATTATAATTTCAAAATTAAAGTTGAAGTTAGAATAAATATCAATTCTATATAATTTGGAATTCTTAATTAAAATTTACACTTGCAGCAAATTTGATGTCTGATATATCATGAAGGATGTAGTAGGAATGAATAAGGCATTATATCATGAAAGATGTAGTAGGAATGAATAAGGCATTATATCATGAAGGATGTAGTAGGAATGAATATGGCATTATATCATAAAGGATGTAGTAAGAATGAATAAGGCATTATATCATGAAGGATGTAGTAGGAATGAATATGGCATTATATCATGAAGGATGTAGTAGGAATGAATAAGGCATTATATCATGAAGGATGTAGTAGGAATGAATAAGGCATTAATATATCATGAAGGATGTAGTAGAAATGAATAAGGCATTATATCATGAAGGATGTAGTATGAATGAATAAGGCATTATATCATGAAGGATGTAGTAGGAATGAATATGGCATTATATCATGAAGGATGTAGTAGAAATGAATAAGGCATATGAAGGATGTAGTAGGAATGAATAAGGCATTATATCATGAAGGATGTAGTAAGAATGAATAAGGCATTATATCATGAAGGATGTAGTAGGAATGAATATGGCATTATATCATGAAGGATGTAGTAGGAATGAATAAGGCATATCATGAAGGATGTAGTAGGAATGAATAAGGCATAACAATAAACCTCATCTTTTACATAATTTATGAAGGATTTTGACAAAATATTTTCTATTTTTCTTTATTCTTACAGCAATGAAGATAAGAATGTAGAAATTCCAGAAACCGTGCCAACAGTGGCAAATATATCTTTAGAACAGACACCAGAGACAGGGAAAGATGTACCTCAACAGTTAGAAAATAAGGTTGCAACAGGGGCAGATAAACCAGTTGATACTATTACTGAACCAGCAAAAACTGATGGAGATAAACCTAAACAGCAGGTATAGTTATGTTACTGAACATTTAAAATTATCATTGAAATAAATTTTATTATTACAGGTCTAGGAACAGGTGTACTTTTATTTCTCATTCCCCACATGGTTGAATCAGTTATGAAATTATTTCTTTCCAGGGTGATGAAATTCAGACATTTACAGAATGGACACAAAAAGTTTTAGAAGAGGAAAAACAAAAAAGTATGATATTTAATTTAATTTATTTTCTTAAACATGTTAAATATGTTAAATAAAAGAAATATGTGTGGAAACCTCAGAGTTGAATTGTTTTAGATTTACAATAGCTAATAGAATAACTAATCATTCTAAGTTATATTTGAATGTTCAGAATTTTGTATTATAACGTATATTATTATTTTTTTAAGCTTCTACAGAAGCTACAGGATCAAGTGTTAGTAAATCTAAGAGATCTGTAAATTATGCCTCTAAAGAATGTGGTGCCAAAGTATTAGCCAGTAATCCTGAAGCTGAGAATGTTAAAGCTGTACTAACCAGTAACAAGGATGAATATATGATAAATCCATGTAAAGTGGCCAAAAAATGGTAAGCCAAACTTAATGATTCATAGCTAGCTTAAAAAGTGATTGAAGATACTAATGGGACATTCAACACTTGAAAAGTCGAAAAGAAACTGATAAAGACTTGTCAAAAACACAACCTAGTAACTAAAGATTTAGCAACAACACCCTACCAAAGGTTAGGGAGATCCTCCTCCTCTAGTGGCATCTTAAAATATTGTAAGAAGGAATCTGCCTTCATTAACACAATTTTTTATTTCTACCCAAGAAATATATCCTATGTTTTATTCAAATGTATATTCAGTGAATTATCATTCGAGCAATATGATGATATACATCTTTTGTGGTTTTACTTGCCTCTGAAATTACAAAAGCAGGTCTAGTACCTTACAAATTAATAAATGAGTTGACATTATCTTTATATTTTTTCTGCAGATTTCGATAAATAATTTTTTTCCAGGTTTGTTATAGAACTTTGTGAGCCAATCCATGTCAACAATTTTGAAGTTGCCAGTTTTGAATTGTTTTCATCACAACCAAAAACATTTCGTGTATCTTTAAGTGATAGGTGAGTAGATAATTTTTACAGACTTTTTTAGTAAAAGACTTCATCAAAGGAGTAGGTCCAGTAAGACCCCTTTTTGGCTCCAAAATAAAGCAGTTTTACATAATTGTTAGAATGTAAACTTTTAGCTATTTATTGGAAAGTAGAATACTTCTTTTACATAAATATGGGCTGTTTTTGACAATACAATCACATGTATCGGGTACTAGCATCATTAAGTAATGCTAAATTACAGAAATCTTCACAATTTTAGCATTTGAGTTAAATTCTAGACGGTTTCCGTCTTAAATGGAAGTGGCCGCATTTGTGTTCATTCTTAATATTTAAATGTAAGTTGTATTTGATGATAATACATAACATATATAAAGGTTGAGAATGAACACGGATGCGGTCACTTTCATTTTTGACAAAAATCATCTGAAAAATGACATATTATGGCATATTTTATAGATTTTTCATATTTAAGCTTGATTTTGAGCGTCTCTAATGACTAAATCTGTTCAAATCTTTCACATAAACTAATCGACTGAAGTAGACACTTAAGTGTTTAAAAAGTGTCCAAAATCTTTCATCAGATGAACATGAAGTTTGAGGCCAAAATCTGCCCTTACCGGACCTCCTCCTTTGCATATCTAATGAACATCTTTTAACTTTATAATTAATTGTGGTAATACTTCTTTCATGTTTTCATCTATTAACCCCCCCCCCCCCCCCCAAAAAAAAAAAAATGGGAAGTAATATTCCCATCGTATTGTCAGTCTGTAGACCAAAAGCGACATAGGTTTATAAAAGAAATAAAATTGAAAGAATAGTCTTAATTATAATTCAGAGAAAAAAATTAAGTTGAAAGAATGGTATAATTCTAATTCAGCAAAAGTTTTGCTTTTGTGAGATAAGTAGAAATTAAAGAGTCAAGGTTTGGAAAAAATATATTTGTTTCGTACTGATTGATAGCATAAATTAAATGTTAATTACTACAAACAAATCAAAGTCTTAACGTTGAAGCCCTACAGTTATGTATAAAAAATGAAAAAGTTTTCCTGTGTTGTTTCAGATATCCTAGTAAGGAATGGACAAATATTGGAGATTTTACAGCTTCAGAAGAGAGAAAATCTCATCCATTTCCGGTTAAAGATGGTTATGTGGTCCAGTTTGTTAAAATAGAGATGTTAGACCATTATGGCACAGAACATTTTTGTCCTTTGACTTGGTTCAGGTAAGTGCTACAGTTTAACTATCAGGAAAAAGAGTCCACAAATTGAACCACATACAGCAAAAATTAGCCATCATAGAACATTCATTGGTGTTTTAAAGTGGGAACTTGAAAAATAGATATGTACTGTGGAAATACTCTGAATAAAAATTGCATATATGTTATTAAAAATTGTTTAAAATCAATTTTGTATTGTGGTTTTGTTATGTTCACCTTAAAGTTCGTTTTTGAATGACTTCTAGGTCTAAGATGACTGAATGATGTAAATACTGTGGATTCATTTATTTCTTGGATACCAATTGAGGAAAACTTGTATTTACATAAAAATTTGATTTCATGGTTTTTCCAAAGTCTTTTTTTAAGCCGAGAAAAAAAGTGTTTTCGTTGACCATTTAAATACTGGTTTACCTATACCAACAAAATCCAAGAAAATTGGTATCCAACAGATAATTATGAATCCATAGTAAATGGGAGTTCAAGTCAATGATAAAGTTGACTCTATTCTACTGATAACTTACAAGGGTTGACAGTTCTTACCAAAAGGTTTGTTGTTTTCCACTTAAAAAAAACGTCATGACCAGAAAGTTGTTTTAAGGTAGTCCTTCTCTTCCTCCTTTTCAGTAAAAAAAATGACTAAGGCGATTTGATTACTGTAAATTCAGAAATGCTTGCAGGCATATATCTTAGCGATTGTTGAACAATTAACTAAAATGTAATATTTATTATTCCAATTTAAAGAGATCCTGCATACAAATAATGCTATCAATATTTAAAATGCCAGTTTTTATTTATGCTAAACATAACACATTGGCAAAATTTCTGAATTTACAGTAATTGAAATGTAATTGAGTTGTCAGTTACAAGCCAAAAGTAGTTATATTTTTGGGCACTCTTAGTTTCCCTTACCAATAATACTGACTCTCATAAAACTGTGTAGAAAAGACATTCAACTTATTAAATATATTGCATCACTTCTATCAACTATTATTCTTAGGTAAAAAAAGTACATATAATACATGACCAAATACGGTAATTAAACATGAAATTACTTACATTTTAGAATGTTTGGAATGCCAGTAGAGTATGATGAGTATGGACATCGACCTCATGAAGATAACGATGATAATGAAAATGATATGGATGAAGGTATGTTTTACTGTGGAAACCCGCAAAACTTTAATATATATATATACATTCTTGCCATTGAACAGATTTTAATTGACTGCAAGCAAAGTTTCTGAACAGTACTGAATTTAATGCAATGGAAATGTCTTAAAATTGACTGAAAAACTGAACATTACATTAATTTTTACTTCTTTTTGCAGTATTATTGAGAGATGAGCAGACAGAAGATGCAGAAACCCACAAGAACTTGTTTGCTAGTGCAACAGGTAGGATATAACTTTGGTACTGAACAGTTTATTTCTGTTTAATGTTGGTATCTGGTTTAAAATTTGTCATCATTTGACTTTGGAACTGTTGAATAGTTAACATGTCAAAATTTATGATTAGGTTAGTTTAATGGGGTCCACTTATGATAAGTTGTATGAGCAGTGGCATATCATCCTCACAATATTTTTGTTAGCATTGACAATAAAGTTTAATTCAGAAGTTACATTTCTCTTTCATTTCAAGATGTTTTTATTTTACAACTGTGTTCTTGAAATTTGACTGATGTTAGAGCCATTTCTATATAATTGGGGAAATCTATCAAAAGAAAAAATTAAAGCTGACACATGCATATAATTTTTTTTGGACAGAGGGGTCTGGAATAACCAAAATTACTATTTGCATTTATCATATATTTCAGAAAGTGTTATGAAGCTTGTTAAGAAAGTTTTAAATGTGGCAGATAAAGAGCAGGATTCTAAAACAAGTAAGTATCATATACATAGAATGTGTAAGAGAAATTCTATATTTCCTCTATAGAAGGGTTACCCCATTTTCAAAGTGCCTTCCCTGGGTACCATGTATGTTTTACTGGAACAGTCCTAATGAGAAAAAAGATTTTGTGGAAATTTTTTTAAATTGAAATTTTCTTTTCAGTCATTATATTGTAGATCAAAATTTTGTAGGATACTGAAACAATGACAACCTCAAATACACAAATTAGCACACATTGAAACTTTTTGAACCACCTCTATGGTCTCGTGGTAGCGTGTTAGCCTCGAGTGAGGAAGGTTGTGGGTTCAAACCCCGGCTGGGTCAAACCAAAGACTTTAAAATTGGTATTTGCTGCTTTTCTGCTAAGCACGCGCAGCATTAAGGAGTAAGAGCAAAGACTGGTCGGCTCAGATTCAAAATAATGTGTCTGGGTAAGATGATATGTCTTCGTGCAGACTGTTACTTTGTGAACTAGCACGTTAAAAATCCAGCTCAGTGTGTCGGTCTAGTACAAAGCAGGATAAAATATTCATATTACATTAAAATGCTCTTGTCCTGAATATGCATATTAATTTGCCACTGGAAGTTAAGCAGCCATCCATCATCATCATCTTTACAACATTGTAAAAGGAAAATTCTGTTCAAAGTGTTCTTGGCTTCAGTGGAAGGGAATGATCAGTTATGCTCCAATATACATGTTACCTCAATCAATTACATGCAGCGACACAGTTCCAGACTTGGTATTGGTCTTGTTACAAATTATAAAAAGATGCAATTCTGGTGTTACAATTAAATTTATAATCTTGAATTACAAGTTGAAAGACCACATCTAATATATATTTTTCTTTATGATGATCGCCAATTAATTAAATGAAAACAATATTCAAATAACCTAGGCACCGAAACATGTCGATCATTAAATTTTCTGCAGCAGTCCCTCCAGTGTTGTTGTTATAAGACTTTCTACATTATTGTGTTTCATCATAACGACCCTGCATACCCGAGGTATCCACTTCAGGGACTCTAACTCACTACAGACTCACCAGGCGTTGGTTCACTTTCGTTTGTAATTGTTTATTGTTTTATCGTGAACCCCTTGCATTCCTTTTGGAACCGCCGTTGCCAGCAGCGCTGACCTTCCCAGCCACCCGCAGCTATGTCTTTGAACGAAGGAAATAACGAAGATTTTGTTGAGGCACCATTGGAGCCTTCCAGAAGTGCCAGTACCATCCAGGCAAACAAAAGAAAAAGGATCGAACAAGAAGCCTTTCAAACAAGAATAAACCCGACCAGAATTCAAGAAAAGAATGTTTCACTTTTTAGAACTTACCGTAAATTAAATGTTAAATTGGTCCGTTGTGAACAGCATAAGGCTTACTTAACCCGATGTGAAATAAGGGATATGGTACCCAAGACACTTAAATCAAATATACAACCCCAAGTACCCGATACAACTCCCGAATTCCTTTTCGAATGGGAAGACGCACAACTAGAATTTGGCAGAACATTAGTGAAACTTTTAATTAAATATTGGAACAACCGATGCGAAATAATTTCATCTCAAATTGCAACTATGGAAATTAGATTAAAAGACAAAACAACTGACACTGAAATGGAACACATAACAAGTTTAATACAGAAAACAAAGCTATCCGTCGAAGACGAAATTAGCAAACGACCCGCGAATCCAGCTAAGCAACAATAAATCACCCAACCCCCGAAAATGCCGAGAACCAGAAAATTCATTAAACACAACATTTATAAGAAAATTAAGAATAAACCACAAAAGGATACATGTGCCGTAATAAATTTGAGCAAAAAACAATTAACATATGCCCAACACTCAGTGCTACAAAAAGGATTAAGTTTCTGTCCAACACCAGGCCCACTAAATGAGTTAGAACTTTTCAGAGATACACTAATTTTTAATAGAAGAATACGCCTGAAACACCATTTTCAAAAAAAGAACGATACCAGTGAAAGCACATATACTCCCAACCCGTTTAAATTACCTACAGGATGGACACCACCAGCGGGAAGAAATAAAGATTTGGATACATTTTTAAACCTTACTTCTGATGATATCTCACAAATTCCGAAAACAGGATTTATAAGAAAAAACCTCAACCGAAATCAATTTAGAGCCTTAAATGAATTAAAAAATGATCAGACCATTACACTTAAACCAGCAGACAAAGGAGGAGCAATCGTTATTATGGATACCATAGATTACATGCGAGAAGCAGACCGTCAACTTTCTAACACTACTTTTTACGAGGAAGTAAATAAAGATCTCAACCCCAAAATCGCCAAAGAAATAAAAGAATTCATTCTCGATATAAAACACAAACTACCCGAAACTCTACACGAATTCTTATTACAAAAACACTGGCGAACGCCACTATTTTACCTTCTCCCAAAAATTCACAAAACAGGAAATCCAGGTAGACCAATTATTTCACAAATAAACTCTCCTACTGCAAATATGTCAAAAGTTGTGGACCATTATCTAAAACCTTTCATCAAAGATATACCGTCGTATATTAAAGATACCACACATTTTCTACAAAAAATCGAATCGCTAGGCGATATACCACCCAACAGCCTTCTAGTAACGGCAGATGTAAGCTCACTGTATACAACCATTCCACACAGAGAAGGAATACTAGCAGCAAAAGAAATACTGAACAACAGACAAGAAAATTCACCAGCAACTTGGATACTTCTTAGATTTATGCACTTTATCTTAACCAAAAATTGTTTTAAATTCGGCAATAAATACTACATGCAAATTATGGGAACAAGCATGGGAACAATTATGGCTCCGGAATACGCCATTATATTTATGGACAAATTAGAGAGAGAATTCCTAAAAACACAAGTACTTAAACCATTAGTATGGTGGAGATATATAGACGACATATTTTTCATATGGCCACATACACGCAAGGATCTAGATTCCTTCATCAGTGCCCTCAACCAATTCCATCCTAGTATAAAATTCACAAGCCACATAAGTACAGAAAAGGTCGATTTCCTAGATACAACGGTAGTTAATAACCAAGGAAAACTCCACACAACTCTATACACAAAACCAACAGATGCGCACCTCTTCTTACATTACAACTCATGCCACCCGAAACACCAAAAAGAAAGTATTCCATTCAGTCAAGCACTGAGAATAAGACGAATTTGTACAGAAATCAATGATTTCGAATTTCACACAAACCGTCTGAAAGAACATCTCCTGACTCGGGGTTATCCCCGACAGGTTGTCGATTCTGCAATTTCAAAAGCAAAGTCGTTAAATCGAAATGATTTGTTAAAACCAAAGGAAACTGACCAACCCGTGAAGCCAGATATGATTCCATTAGTAATCAACTACCATCCAAAAATAAAAAATCTTAACGGAACCATCAACCAGAGGAAAGATATCCTCAAAAGAACTCCTGAAACTCAAACCCTCGCGAAACAAAAACTCATTGTTTCATATAGACGAGCCTTATCAATCAAACAAATACTAGTAAAAACCGAAATTGTACGCAAACAAACCCGTAAGGGTAGCCACCCTTGCGGAAAGAATTGCTATCTCTGTAGATTAATGAAAACCGCAGAAAGTGCAAAAAGTACCGTAAACAGTTACCAAATAGATATTAAACACGAAATTACATGCAACACAGAAAGTGTGGTGTATTTAATAGAATGCAAACAATGCAAAAAACAATACATTGGTCAAACGGGAAATAGCCTAAAAGAAAGATTCAGGGGACATCTACAGGACATCAACACTGAGAATAATACAAAACCAGTCTCGAAACACTTCACCTCAAATGGTCACAATAAACACGACGTCACCATAACAGGCATAACAACCACAGAACAAAACATAAACGTCAGACTAAGAACGGAAGAAGCTCTTATACATAAATTTGGAAGCACCGAACCCTGGGGCCTTAACAGACGATATGGCTAATACGAAGATTACCAAAAGAAAAGAAACTACAGGAACTTTCACAAGACGATTTAATTGCAAAAAATGCCCGAAAACTTTCTGCAGTATTTCTACTTTACGAAGACACCATAAGGAACGCCACGAACCAGTCGCAACAATGTTTGAATGCAAACATTGTGTTGCAACCTTCACTAGAAAATCAAATGCCGTAACACACCTTAAATCAAAACACCCAGATAAAGCCAGAGAAGATTATAATAGCTTCCAACAAAATCCTCGTGAAATGGCCAAAGCAATAGAAAAATGGAGACCACCATTTGAAGCCGTACAGAAAAAAGAATGGAACGGGAAAACACCTACATTCAGGACAATACCAGCTAAATCACCGTATGAGTATCACCAATCATCCACCTCAAAACCGAAAAAACCCTCAACAAGTGATTTGGAACAAGACCTGTACCTGTCGGATTCCGACTCTTCTTTAAATAACACTCCGCAATACATAACAAACGATTACGGTTATGTCATGGACCTTACTCAGGAAGACTACATAGACCTGACAACAAGCAGCAGTGATGAAACCATATGTTTAGATGAGCTACCGGAAGAACTATGGGACAGACATGTGTTTGTACATTCTATTTATAACATTTTTAGCTGAGACAATAATAACACAGAGTTGATATACAAACAATTTTAATTTACTTTCATTTTCATGTTGACAATCTATTTATATACATTTTCTATTTATACTTTCACTATTACTTCCCTTTCATAACAACTACTATACTATGACGTTGTCACAAGACAACCCGATTGTACACTTAAGTATGTTCAATGTATTATTTGTATCCTGATGACGGTGCCCTAGGCACCGAAACATGTCGATCATTAAATTTTCTGCAGCAGTCCCTCCAGTGTTGTTGTTATAAGACTTTCTACATATTTATTATTTGTTTGTTTTTGTTGTTTTTTCAGACCTAACAGGAAGTGTGACTGAGGATAGTCTAACTGTACCAGGTTCAAACACTACACAGAATAATATGACAGCTGATGGATATATGTTACCCTGTGTACCAGAGTAGGTTTTACAGCAGAATTTGATCATCTGTTAAACATTTTGCAATTGGTTATTTTTATTTGGATTGTTACTAAAGCTAAATACATATTGATATCTGTTGAAGTAAAAATTTCTCAGGTACAACTGAAATATTTAAGATGAACATGTTGAATACATTTGTAAAGATTCAAATACAATTTACTAATTGCAAGAAACTTGGTTTATAGATGAATGGTTTCAATCAACATATATGTATTGATAATTTACTGTGGCTACACTTTAAATAGGAATATCTCTGTTTACCATAGCATGAAGACCCTTGTTTGTTTGTGCTGTTTTTTCTTTAATTTTAATTTTAAATGTTGCCAGGCAATTTTCTGCCTTCATTCCAACATCCCCTCTTTTTTCAGTGGCATTCCAAATTTCTGGAACTGCATGTTTATTAGCAAAACACAATGGAACAATCAATTAAGGCAATTCTGAAGTAGGCTTTGATAATTTATTAATAAATAGAAGGATGGTAAATTACCTATTTGTACCTGCTTCTCCAAAGGCTGAAGCAGGTCTAGTAATCGCACAACTCCATCCGTCTGTCCTCTGTCTGTCAGTCCATCTTTCCATTTGTCCTTCCGTCTGTCTGTTTGTCCCAAATAAAACTTACCAGGTCCAGACCTGGTATTGGTATTGTTTACTACTAGTTCTGAAAATAAAACTGAAGTGTCAGTAACAAGTTTATCTTAAAACTTTTATTAAATAACCAGTTTGAATTAATTATTTTTGTAACTAGAGACATACTGTAGACATTAAAATATATTTGAAAATTTTGTAGAAAGAAAGAAGTGGAAACAGAAAAGAAGAAATTTGATGAGCCTTTACAACCAAGTCCGCCATATCCACAGTCAGGTTTTGTAACTTCTTCATTAGGTAAATAAATGTAAAAATACATCAACTTTCCCTTGCCTCTGACTAAAACCACTAAGACAAAACAACGGAATAATAAATTCTGTTGACAATAGCAGCCTTTTTGTCAACAGGAATACTTAATTCTGTTGACTTTAGTAGCTTTGTTGTCAACAGGAATACTAATTCTGTCAACATCAGCCATTTTTGTGATATTCTGGTAGACCGTAGTGAACAATGTGAACTGGGATTAATTTATTATACTTTAACATGTCAGATTCCAGGTTTTCCAAGTTTTTAAAACATGAATTGCTGTGTCAAATTTGATTTGAATGATATAGAATTTTCGACATTGAATTAAAAGAATATTATGTATATTTTCAAACACAAGTTAGTGTTTAAATACACATAATTGTAATTCATTTTATATTTCTGTTAACAAATATTTTTTAATACTCATTTGATAATTTAAAAAAGCACACAGAATTTTACATCTTGTAAGAATGTGGTTTGTTTTGTACTCAAGATGTAAGACCATGTTGATATCGTTAATTAATTTATTAATGGGTGTGGTTTAAAGTCATGTATGTAATCACATGATGTAGAATAAGAAATCTTTTCAAATTAGTAAAACTACAAGCAGGCAATAGACCTATAACATAGAGAAAATAACTGTTTAAAACAATATTACTATTCATATACTGTGTATTCATTTGTATTCATGGATACCAATTTTCCTAGGTTTAAGGAAAAATATAATTCGTGAATATTTGATTTTTTGGTATTGCCAAAATCTGCAAACGAACATACAGAAAATTTGCACTTTAGTAAACACTTGAATTCTTGGTTTAACTTTACTCATGAAATCCTTAAAAATTGGTATACCATGAATAAAAGTGAATCCACAGTATATAGGAAAACCATAGTAATAAGGTGATCATTTAATTATTTTATTTTATGATTCTTCTCTTAAATCCTTGTGCATTTATTTATGTTACAGAACAATGTAAAAAAGAATCAGCTTTATTGTGAACTAAAAATAAACTGGACAATCAAAATTTGAATACAGATAATTTACTATTTTTGACATTTTTACCTAATATCTGTTTGTTTTGTTCACACATTGTTGTCAATATAATGGAATTTTATGTGAATGTCATACAAGTGAGAGGTTTAGCTAGCTATAAAACTAGGTATTTTTGTTATTTTACTTTTTGCAGATAACATATAAAGAGGCCACAGCTCACAAACTTGAAAGCATAATGATAAAATTTTTGATTATGTTACATGGTATGCCAACTAATTTTTGTGAGCAACTTATTTTTGCTACTTTCCTGACTAGAAAAATAACATGAATTTAAATTTTTGCAAATGTGTAAATATTTGGTCTACCCTTATATAAATATATCAAGAAAATTAGAAAATTACAAAAATAAATCACCACAAAGTTGTCTAGGGAATGCTAAACGCAAAATAAAGTATTAACAAAAAATATGTTGGTTTACAGTATTTTAAAATGACTTCTCTGTAATAGGCTATAAATTATTTTACAGAACAAGAGGATAAGAAGAGAAAAGATGATGAATCTATTGTTACAAAGCTTGAGGACCATGAACAGGTCCCCAGTGTGAGTGACAATCTGGTCACCTTGCTACAAAATGAGGAGGAGGAAGAAACTGTGTCATGTGATTATATAACTGATAAATTATCAGCTGTATCTTATTTTAGAAAACCAATTTGTACATACTATGAAATTATGAAGTATTCCAAAAAATTGCCCATTTGTTCACTTAACGAATCACTTGCTAAAGAACAAGAAGAAGTAGAAAATGGAAAGACTTTGCCGAAAGAAAATAGTTTTCAAATAAAAGAAATGACACCTGAAACACAAGATGTCATCCAGACAGAAATTAAGCCATCAGCTTCTGAAAAAAGTCCTGAATCAAACCAACAAAATGTGGAGCTGCCACCAAAGGAAATGTTAAATGTTAGCTCAACGGATGTGAAGCCATTGACGGAGGAATCAATAGTATCTACTACTACTGTATTGTCAGTTTCAATGGATCTAACAATGCAATCTTCAGCATCTATTGATCCGACAACTTCTTTAAAAAATGTAGAACCAACCAAAATAGTTGCCGAAAAATCTCAAGAAGAAATGGAGGTGTTGAAATCTTCCGAAGTATCAAATCCTGATGTGAGCCAGACAATTCAGTCAAGTTCTTCGTCAGAATCAATCGAAGTGAAAGTTTCAGATAAAACGCCATCTTTATCTGAGGAGGAACCAAAGAAAACTGTAGATTTTGTTCTGGTAGACACTGCTTCAAGTAGTAAACCAACTGAACAGGTAGGGTCTACTTCGAATTAAGTATATAAAAGAGATGTACATTAGACTATTGTATCAGAATACCATATTTTTAAAAAATTTTGCCTTTCTCTTATTTTTACTTAATTTACCAGTCAAGGGTATTACTTAAACATGTGACTTCGGAATCAACTATTTAAGTTATTGGAGCATTTTAAATTTAAAATGTTTTTAAATATTGAAATAGATTCATTTAAATCACTGAAACAAATAAATTAAGTGCTGATAACATTTTCTTGATATTTTTCCAACATGTTTTATAATTTTATGAGTTAAAAAACATTGATTCCAATGAAAATCAATTAGGATATATTTCCCCAAAAACTTATTTTAGCTGATTTTTTACTAGCCTGAACATTACTGAAAATTTACAGTATACAACATTTATCTTTGAGAAGATGTCACCAAGGTTTTTAAACTGGATAAAAACACCGATTTGTAACAGATGCAAACAAAAGATAAAGAAGTATTTGAATTTGACATTTGTATATGAAAGTTTTATGTTATGATAATCAAAATTATTAATGCATGATTGTTTACATCTATTTTAGACGGCTGAATCAAAGGTCCAACAACCAGAGGTACCCTCTGCAGAAGAATCATCAAAAATAGATCCATCTATATCAGTAGAAATCCAACAGACCTCAGTCCTCAAGGCCAATGCCAGTGAAACTGAAGGACCAAATACAGATACTATTGAACCTGTTGTAGTAGGGGATAATGTTCCAGTTTACCAGAATGCCAAAGATTTAAGACTTATCCATGTTCCTGTCCTGCCTTATCAGAAAAGAGAAACTGCTATCATGAGACTGAATAACAGAATCAAGGCTTTAGAGATGAATGTCTCACTCAGTAGCAGGTTTGTATCTTTAATGTTTTTGATTGATTGATTTTTTGTGTTAAACACCATTTTTGTCGAGCCTGCGACTTTTGTCGCAGAAAGCTCGACATAGGGATAGTGATCCTACAGCAGCGGCGTTAGCTAACTTATTTAAAGCTTTATATTTTAGAAGGTGGAAGACCTGGATGCTTCATACTTTGTATATAGATGCCTTATGTTACGAAGTTTCTGTCTGTCACATGTCCATTGTCCTTGACCTCATTTTTATGGTTCGGTGACTACTTGAAAAAAAAGTTGTGTGATTTTTTGTAATGTTAATTTCTCTCTTATTATGAGTAATAGGATAACTATATTTGGTATGTGCGTACCTATCAAGGTCCTCATGCCGGTCAGACAGTTTTCACTTGACCTCAACCTCATTTCATGGATTAGTGAACAAGGTTAAGTTTTGGTGGTCAAGTCCATATCTCAGATACTATAAGCAATAGGTCTAGTATATTTGGTGTATGGAAGGATTGTAAGGTGTACATGTCCAACTGGCAGGTGTCATCTGACCTTGACCTCATTTTCATGGTTCAGTGGTTATAGTTACGTTTTTGTGTTTTGGTCCATTTTTCTTATACTTTATGCACTAGGTCTACTATATTTGGTGTATGGAATGATGGTAAGGTGTACATGTCCAACTGGCAGGTGTCATCTGACTTTGACCTCATTTTCATGGTTCAGTGGTCAAAGTTAAGTTTTTGAGTTTTGGTCTTTTTTCTTATACTATATGCAATAAGTCAACTATATTTGGTTTTATTTGACCTTGACCTCATTTTCACTGTTCATTGCTCAGTGTTAAGTTTATGTGTTTCAGTCTGTTTTTCTTAAACTATAAGCAATAGGTCAGTTATATTTGTTGTATGGAAGTATTGTAAGCTGTTCATGTCTGCCTGGCATGATTCATCTCACCTTGACCTCATTTTCATAATTCATTGGTCAATGTTTAGTTTTCTTGGTTAAGTCTGTTTGTTAGAAACTATAAGCAATACGTCAACTATATTTAGTGTATTGAATGATTGTAAGGTGTACCGTTCCTACTCGCTTATTAGTCGGAAAATTGGGAGTAAAATTCATAATCCAGAGAGGGGGACCGACTAATAGACGAGATCTAGCGACCAGAGGAAAAATCCAAGCTTGAGAAAAGTGGTCAGGAGTGAATTTCCTGGTCAAAACTACGTTTTTGATTGCCAAACCTACATAAATCAATAAATAAAAAGTTTTTGTTGAAAATAAATGACTACAAAACTGTCTTTGTGTTTTATTTGTTCTTTGGTAAACATTTTCTGCAAATTCGTGTTGAAATTCTACTGTTTCCGGTTTGTGTATTGATTTTCATGGTCACATGGTTTTCCTATAAACCCAAAAGAAGAGCCAAGAACCAAAAATGAAAAGGAGATAACAATGTACCAAATATGTGAAAGGATGTTTTCAGCGGAGTTATTGTGTCATTATTGTGATATCATGATATCAATTCAATGCTTATAAATCATATAATAATCAAAAAATAATTTTAAGATTCATTCCCAAAATCAAAATATTATTCATTAAAGTGTCTCAGGTAAACAAAAATTACAAAATTGATTGACAAGCCAATATAATCCATTGATAACCCCAATTAAGAGACAAAGAGTTGTATTTACTAAAGGTGTGAAAACTATCAGTGATAGGTAAACAGATGACACTAATGAGCTGGAGTTAGTTATTTTAATATATTGATTAGCTTCACTTAATTTTTTTAATCCTTTAATCATCACAATATAATAAGAATTATGAAGTTTACATGCTCATTTAACACCAAGTTATGTATGCTGTGAAAAATATTTTCATCAAGTGTTGATTGACTTTAAATTTTTCAGGTTCATATTGGTTTATATTCGCTTTTCTCAAACAATAGGTTATTAGTCATACCCTACAAAATCATTGATGCATTATGTAAACAACACATGGCTAATCTAACATTTGAACAGTGAACAAAACAAGAGAAATGAATACATCTTTATTATTAACAGCAATATAAATTATCATGATGAGCATCAACTAAATTCAAACCAAACAAACATTAATGCAGAAATGAATATTATTCCTGGATTTGCATTGGTTTTACCGGCGTTCAGTTACTGTCAGCTGAAAAAAAAATGCCCAAATTTTGTCCGACTTATACAAGGGTCAAGACTAAATCCTTAGAATTTGGAGCTGAAAAGGGCCCCCGACTTATAGTAGGATCGACTATTAAACGAGTATCTACGGTACATGTATTTCTGGTTTAGTTTATATGACCTTGACTTCATTTTCTTGGATCATGTTAAGTTTATGTAATAGTTGTAGTAAAGCTTTCATTTAGGACTATCAACATAATATCAATGGTTAGTAAAGAATGTGAGACATTTCAGCGTGTGCACTCTTGTCAACACTATTGGCTATTTCGTGATTGCCAGTTTTTATTGGTGGAGAAAGCCAGAATACCAAGAGGGAACCCTGTACCTTTGGTAGGAAAACTGGCAATCCTAGTCAATTAATATTTGAATCGAACACATGTGGGGTTAGAACTCACAATCTCAGTGTTGTTAGGCATGTGATACAGTAGAAGTACTTAGACCACTTGGTCACTGAGGCCCCTATATTAATGTTTCTGACTTAACATCAATATGATTAGATGAGTGTTAAACAAAGGGAAGAAGATCCCAAAAAGAAGGGGGCGGGGGGGGGGGGGGGGGGGGGGGGGGGGGGGGGGCGCAATGAATATCTTAACAGATATACAACAGTCTACAAAATAACATTTGCAGAACCCATTTTTAAATCAGTTAGAAATTCAGGTATAGCAAAACATTTAATTATGGACCCCGAAGGAGATTGACTTTTATATACCTTTTGAATTATTGCTTTTATGAAATGACATTTAATTTCAAATTTACATATAAAAAGTACTGAGAAATGCCTGATAAAAAGTTTTACCACATCTTTTAACTTTTTAGTATTTTGTCACATAATATATAAATTAAGTTGATTGTTAATTGATTAACAAATTATTTCTTATGTAGATTTTTGGAAGAAATGAGTCAGAAGTTTAAAAAACAGACAGAAGACATGATCAAACAACATGTGTTTAACAAAACAGTGGGAGAGATAACAAATGTTACAAAAGCCATCGAAATTCAGGTAAACTGAAATTTTATTATTTTGCGTTCTATAAAGTCTATGTCAAAGTGAATAACTAGTTAAGGAATGACTGTAATATTTTTTCTGTCTATGAAGAAAAAATATTACAGTCATTCCTTATAATTTAATTCTAAATTCCATTTTTAAGGAGTAAATTTTGAAAAATCTGTTGGTGTCGTCACGGTAACATGACAAAATTATGTCTATGATAGACAAAACACTTTCAGCCAATCAGAAGAAGTGTTACATCCAAAATTAAATTATTAGAATTTCTATAACTTTTTGAAAGTACCTTGAGAATAAGTTGTTGAATGCAGGACTGTCATTAAGGAAATCTATGAAACTTATTGCAAATATTTCTAATAAACTTTTATTTCATACATGAACTAATGGAATATGGGTGGTTTTGTTGTTCATTCACGAGGATGAAAAGGATGTATAAATGTCGTTGGTTGCACTTTCGAAAAGCTGTTAACAAATATTAACATTAAGGTGAAGGTAATTAACAGAAGCTGATGGGAATTTTACAAGTTTGCTGTTAGGTGGGTTTTTTTTTTTTTAAATCTTACTGAAATTAAGTATTTTACTTAAATTATATTGTATAAAAACAACTTATCAATAAAAATGTGTTTTTCTCTTGGATGAAGAGTTTGTGTATGAATTAAAGTATTACACCACTCTTACACTTTGTGATATATGTAACCTTTCTAAACAGACAATTAACCATGACCACACAAAAATTAATGACATCACAATGTATTTTTTATCAAAACATCTATTGTGTCACTGACACCATCGGTAGGGCTATGTATATTTTAGTAAATTTTACACTTTGCTTCACCTACATCATGGTAAAATGTAGCTTACCTTAGTTAAATTTCCAAAAGTCTTCAATAAATTATTTCTCACAAAACCATCAAAATGAAATTTTGGATTATTTATTTCAGAAATGTAGTAAATTTCGGACTAAATTTGTGATCTATACACCGCAGGTAAAACAAATTGGGTATATATAAATGAGAGGAGAATGAGGGAATTGTTTTACTCATATTTTTTTTAATTTGGAAGATCCTTGTAGAGTAGGTAGTCTTTCCTTTTCCTGTTTTATTTGTGTCATTAATCAATAAACCATATCCCTTGTTTACCATCAAATTTTAATTATTTGATCATGTTTATTTTTCTTCAACAGATGTAATCTTTTGTTTTAAATAATACATTTTCAAAACCAGCTGATAAATACCAAAATTTGCTACAAATATACATTGATTCAAATATTTATCCATTGGAGATAAATGTAATTAAAGTTCTCTAAAAAAAAAATCTAAATTTTATTATAATCTTTGGGTGAGCAAAAAATTTTAATATTAATTATCATTATTTCAATACACTTCAAATGATTAGTTAACAGTAGTTTTTAAAAGTTTTGATACATTTCAACAGCAAAATTATTCACTAATTTTCCTCCAACAAAACAAGCAATTTATTTTGTAAATAGATATAAGAAGATGTGGTATGAGTGCCAATGAGACAACTCTCCATCCATGTCACAATTTGTAAAAGTAAACCATTATAGGTCAAAGTACGGCCTTCAGTCACTTTTTAAGAAATAAATTGCTTATTTTGTTGTGTACATTTTTTTACAATTACAAATACTTTATAATTTGTATAAATAGGATAACTTGGCAGAATGTTATTGGTGTTGAAGATCTGTGACAAACCATTTTTTGCCGAAAATAAACTCAGATGTTGAAATATTCTTATTAGTGTTTTTTTTATGCTATAACTCAAGAGTTAATATTTAACTGTTTAAAAAGACAAGAACATTACTTTTTTTTTATTGCAGAGTCTGATTCAGAAGCAGAAAATTGATGTTTTAGAAACTACAGTACAGAATTTAACAGAACTTGTCATTCGTTTTACAGAAAAAATGGAGAACCTTAATCAGCAGGTTAGAATTTTCATGAAAATTTTGTAGTAAACTTTGTTTGACACTCTACACAATGTCTTTCATACAAACCATATTGAATAACTATATTCCAATCAAATCAATATTACTATCAAAATAACATTAAAGGCGAGACATACCTCGGTGTCAACAGTTTATATTCAAAAATTGTATGTTTCAGATTTCTTTTTTAAGCATCAAAGCTTTTTTCAAAGAAAAATTTCCCTTTTTGAACTTGACATAATTGTTCAATTTACCTCTTTCTTTGAAAAAATGTATGCTCTTATATAATTTTTGACAACTTAACTAAAATATATCTGACTTCTTAAATTGTGAAAACAGATAGCAATACTTTTTATTGATTACTAAAGTTCAAAATAGTGTTATGGATATATTTTTATGCAATATATTTTCAATTCTTATATAATACCAAAAAAAAATATAAAGTATTATTATTTATTCAAAACAAACAAAAAAATATGCAATAACATACCAAAAAAAAACATAGCTAAAGGAATACTATTTAGTCAAAACTAATAAAAAATCAACTTCCATATGTAATACTTAAGTGTCCTGCATTCACTTAAATAGTGTATTCTAGCCAGATTTAAACAAGATTTACTTGATTTTGTTCTGTGTCTGTTTTATGACCAGCATCCCGTTTTTGTTCAGATACAAGTATGTGTATTATATGGTTTAAAAGTAACAGAAATAGGAAGCTAAATTTAATATTTCATATTTATTGTTTTAAAAATATCAAGACATACCCCTTTAAGTTTACTTATATAATTGAAATATGTTTTCTATAGGTACAGGACAGAGAATTTAGGTACATTGTGACAGTGATTGTATTGTGTGTCATTGTTTTGATTCTGATGAAGAAGAAATCCACGAAAGTCCCACAGGAAATCCAGGACATGGGGACAACCACTAATTTTAAACATATCCGTAGAAGAAACTCTTTCTCTGGGCGTGACCATGATAAAGTTGATTCTATAGGACCTGCCATACAAAAATACAACAGTGAATCTACATTAGGTAAGGGAACAATGAAAAGTGAAGATATATTTGCTTTTTGTGATACTTGTATTTTGATTTGCAATATCTGTTTTCTATTGGAAGTGCAAAGAAAACCAGGAATATGCCTTCTGCAAAAATAAAAAAGGATGAAAATACAAACAATAGTAAACATAACAGCATAAAGAAAACTTAAGATTGAGCAAACTTCACTATAACTAGGGATGAATATAAAAATAAAGAAATGTGGTATGATTGCCAATGAGACAACTATCCACTAGACTTAAAATGACAGGGATATAAGTAATTATAGGTCACCTTACAGCCTTCAACAATGAAAAAAACCCATACTGTATAGTCAGCTATAAGGGGCCTCAACATGAAAATGACAAATTTGAAACAATTTAAAAGAGAAAACTAACAGCCTTATTTATAACAATACAATTTACAAAAAAAAAATATGACAGACATGAACCCATGACAACCACTGAATTAAAGGCCCTTGACTTGGGACAGGCACATAAAGAATGTGGTGGGGTTAAAAATGTTTGCCAGCACTCAACCCCCTTCTTTTAAGAGTTTTAGATTTCTTGTTTCTCAGTAATCTACCTATTTGAAAGAAAAAAAATATTGCAGGTGAAAAGTATTTCTGTTATTCACATTCTGCCTAACAATTTGAGGTGCAAAAAAAAAGTATTTATGCATTTATTTTTAATTCAGAATTTTAGAAAAAACCTTCATCAATCAATAAATGAATAAGATATAAATTAATAGAAATCATTTTGATGTTGTAGAAGAATAATCCAGGTTAAAATTATAATGTGAGGTTTAATTTTTATGATATCCCGTATGGAACATCCTCAGCTTGAAAGAAATAAGAATTAAATTTTTATATTCAAATTTTCAGTATGTTTTATAGCCTAATATGATATTTTAAAGCAAAATATTCATATGGAAAAACATTTGATATGTATTAATTTTTTAAGAGTCAGAATTGTGTTAGTTTTAGATATTCCAATCTTATATTCTGTTGCTACAGCAAGCAAAGTATGCCATAGTCATGTTTCAAAATGTCTGATTGTATATTATGTTTTTTACAGTGAATTCTGGGAATTATTCATCAGATATAGATCCTGGTGGGACCTCAGTACACCACATGCATGTAAGTAGAACTAAATATGAGATACATACAGTTAATTCTGGTAATTTTGCTTGTCTGGTATGACAGTGCATTTCATTGGCATAAAATCAAATGAACGGACTTATAGTAGGATAAAAGGAATTATGCTGCAGCATTATAAGTTTAACAGAGATTTTCATGTGTTATTTGCTTCTACAAATAACTAGGAACGAAAAAGAGTTACATATGTTTGGAAACGGTTAAAATTCAAAGCACTTTGTAGAAAACAACAAATTTTAACTCATCTAAGTATATGGAACACTTTAATATGAAATGTGCAGTGATCATTGAATAAACACTAGAATAAATTATCTTTATATTAGACTGTTAGCATTTAAACATTGTATAAATTTAGAATTTAAAGAAATCATGCATTTCACCGTGGAATTGTAGAATTTATTATACCAAAGTTGTCTTCTTCAGAAACATCACAATAGCATAACTCAGAGAAGCATTAAAATGTTACTGAAACCCATTTTAATTAGGGCCCCGCCGAATGGCGGACGCCCTATAGTGATCAGTCTGTCCGTCCGTCCGTAACAAATTGTGTCCGCTCTATATCTAGAGAACAGTTATAATTTCAAAGTTTATACTTGACATGAATATTAACCAACACCAGAGGGTGTGTCATAATGTATGTACAACTTCCTAGGTCAAAGGTCAAGGTCAAAAACTTTGGTTTCAGTTGACAACCCGATGTCCAATGATAAAGATACAATTTTTTACCACACATTATTCACAGCGGGGCCCACAGAGATGGCTCCCATCTCAATGATATCTAGTTCCCTTTGTATAAAAGGTATTAATATTCATTATAATGAATGTAATAAACAGAAAAAGTTCTTTTTGAATAAGAATATGAAGTATCACAATTATTTTCATGCATACCGTTCCTACTCGCTTATTAGTCGGAAAATTGGGAGTAAAATTCATAATCCAGAGAGGGGGACCGACTAATAGACGAGATCTAGCGACCAGAGGAAAAATCCAAGCTTGAGAAAAGTGGTCAGGAGTGAATTTCCTGGTCAAAACTACGTTTTTGATTGCCAAACCTACATAAATCAATAAATAAAAAGTTTTTGTTGAAAATAAATTACTACAATACTGTCTTTGTGTTTTATTTGTTCTTTGGTAAACATTTTCTGCAAATTCGTGTTGAAATTCTACTGTTTCCGGTTTGTGTATTGATTTTCATGGTCACATGGTTTTCCTATAAACCCAAAAGAAGAGCCAAGAACCAAAAATGAAAAGGAGATAACAATGTACCAAATATGTGAAAGGATGTTTTCAGCAGAGTTATTGTGTCATTATTATGATATCATGATATCAATTCAATGCTTATAAATCATATAATAATCAAAAAATAATTTTAAGATTCATTCCCAAAATCAAAATATTATTCATTAAAGTGTCTCAGGTAAACAAAAATTACAAAATTGATTGACAAGTCAATATAATCCATTGATAACCCCAATTAAGAGACAAAGAGTTGTATTTACTAAAGGTGTGAAAACTATCAGTGATAGGTAAACAGATGACACTAATGATTTGGAGTTAGTTATTTTAATATATTGATTAGCTTCACATAATTTTTTTAATCCTTTAATCATCACAATATAATAAGAATTATGAAGTGTACATGCTCATTTAACACCAAGTTATGTATGCTGTTAAAAATATTTTCATCAAGTGTTGATTGACTTTAAATTTTTCAGGTTCATATTGGTTTATATTCGCTTTTCTCAAACAATAGGTTATTAGTCATACCCTACAAAATCATTGATGCATTATGTAAACAACACATGGCTAATCCAACATTTGAACAGTGAACAAAACAAGAGAAATGAATACATCTTTATTATTAACAGCAATATAAATTATCATGATGAGCATCAACTAAATTCAAACCAAACAAACATTAATGCAGAAATGAATATTATTCCTGGATTTGCATTGGTTTTACCGGCGTTCAGTTACTGTCAGCTGAAAAAAAAATGCCCAAATTTTGTCCGACTTATACGAGGGTCAAGACTAAATCCTTAGAATTTGGAGCTGAAAAGGGCCCCCGACTTATAGTAGGATCGACTATTAGGCGAGTATCTACGGTATATTCATACGTTTTTAAAAACTTGAATTCTTTGAGTATCTATTTCTTAAAATTATATCTGCATCATTATTGAATTTTGTTACTAGAGAATTTTTTTAACTTTAGGCAAAGAAAAGAAAGAGAAAGAAACAAAAGATAAACGGTTCATCAACATCTTTGACAGGTGAAGTAAAAGTAACTCACAACAAAACTGATATCAATAGTGCTGGTCTCCTGTTTGGTACCAGTTCAAGAGAATCTTCACCTGATGAAGGTGAACAAACAAAATCGAAATCCATGAATCGATCTTCAAGTAGTGCTGGACTATGGAGCTATTTTGCCAGTGACAAGCAAGAACAGCTGAAACCAAAAGGACCTGACAAAAAAATATCTTCAAGTTGTCATACAGGCCATGATAAAAAAGATTTGTACAACAGTCATGCCAAAACAAATGGCTGTATCCCAAAGAAGACAATCAAGACAGGAACTATATGTCATCCTGCCAAAACATCCAATGGTTGTACACGTGGACTCAGATCTGGGTCGTTTAATGGTTCTGACACGCATTATGATGATTTTATATCGCTCTCTGAGGAAAGTGTTAACAGAGGTGACATATTCATTGTTTCTCCCTTTAAAAAGAAATTTACCTTTCCTAAGGGATCGACACAGAACTCGCATAAAGATTCAATGTTAAAAAACCAGACAGGAAAACAAGGCAAAAGTTCTCACACTCGTGCAGGTAGTACTGATCTAACATACAGAACGGTGTCTTTCAAGGAAATGAATGGACATAATTAGCTTTAATTTGTTGCATTGTTTACAATCTAGGTTGGCTCTTATCTGTTTTATAGATTTAGAGAGTTACCATTCTTGGAATTGCATGCCAAAATTGTTTTGCATTTGAAAGTTGCAAACAAGTAACTTATTTAATTTAGATAATATATTTGTTCTATAAATTTTGAATGAATAGCAAGAAAGTAGCATGAAAGCATTTTTTAAATAAAAGCAAGTTGGTAGTCCAATTGGGTTTAGATGTATTTTGCAATTTTTTGTGCAATAAGATTGTTGTATGTAGTATCTTAAATCAAACTTGTGTTGAATGTGCCTGTGATAGAATTTAAAAATGTAATTTGCATACCTATTTCTTTGATAAATCGTTCTACATGTGCATGTGCTTTTGATATAAGAAAATAGTACCTTTTATTCCTTTCATATTTTCAGTATTCGAAATGAATTTCTGCTCAATAATTGTTTATACCTCAGTTTTGATAAAAAAAAAAAAAAGTAAGTCTTGTCTTGATTTGGAATGATTTTGGAATACATCTGATAATTTGTACATGTGAAATAAAATTTAAGTCTCAATTTTAGTGCAACAGATGTGCATTTTGACAATCAATATCTCTTCAATAATGGTTGAGGCAAAAAAATGAATGAAATCAAAAACCTAATAGAAATGTTGTCAAGCTGATTTTACTTTTATAACGACCAAAAGTATGGCTAAACCCTTACAAGAAATCAGAACTATGCATAGAGATATGTCATCCTCAATTTCACAGGATTTCTTAAGTTTTATAACAGCAAATTACAATTAAAAAAAATAAATATCTATTGTTGAGCTATAAAAAAAACTCAAAATTAACATTCTGCTTCATTAAATCCAAATTATGTACATGTTTAACTTGAACAGCACAAACCTGATTGGATACGTTTTTAGTGTGGACACTGTTAAATGTATTGTTTGTGAGTAATTGCATGGGTATAATGAAGATACTAATTTTGAATTGTTGTTATGAATAAAGGAAAGGGGAGTAAAATGTTGTGCTGGGGTTCTAAAAATGAAAGAACTAGCTTTTAAAATGTTTAATTTAGAAATGATGCATCTGAGTTTTATTTGCATTATCAGTTTTGGTACTTTTCTGTTTTCTTTTTATTTCTGGTGCTTAGAATTATTTTTGTAATAATATCTTAATTGTATGTGTGAGATTAAAGATTGAATACAGTCAACCCACTTTATAATGACTAAGTATATCTTCATTTTACAGTGAAGTGAAACGAAAACATATTTTATAAATCCATTTATCTTTTTCATTAACAACTCCTATGTTTGAAAACAAATATCGTGAAAAATCCCCCATCCCCCTCCCAATTTATATGTGTTTATTTATCTTTTATCATCAATAAACACAAATTTTCTTATATGGTAGTATCTGAGAAATAAAAAAAAAATTGCATTACATGTTTTATTTTGCTTCTTTCTTATTGTTAAATTAACTTTTGATGCCCCAATTCAGCTTCTCTGTCATCCAATAAATAAGATTACACATTAATGAACCCTCACATCTTCTCTCTATTTCTTTTTTTTCAACTGTTTAGTGATTCTTTTCCCATCATCTGTCTTATATCATATCCATGTTTCCCTACAAACTTGCAAATACAGTTCAATAAGAACCATTCCCTAAATACCCATACTTTAAATTTAAAAATTATTGCGTGCATTTATTATTGCGATTTTTGAAGAATGGAAAAAAAATCGAGATTATTATTGTGTGTGTCTTTGACAAAGTTTTGTTTCGATTATAGTAAATGTCCTTTTAATGCGGGTTGACTGTATTTTTCCATATTTTTGTATTTTCGATGTGAAAAATATATTGGTAAACCGGTGAAATTTAATTTAGAATTTACTGGTTTTGTAATATGGTTTTGTGTTTTTTGTTGAAAATGTTAAATGTGGATTTTTTTGTCTCTGCATTTAGCAATTTCAGGGTCTAAAGTATGCTTATGAAAAGCCTAGTCATAAACATGGTGATTGCTGAATCAATGATCACTGCTGTGTGTGCATGTAACAGTTATCAATGAATCAGTAAGCAGTGGCAGATCCAGAAATTTTCATAAGCGGTGCCCACTGACTGCCCTAAGAGGAGGCCTGCTCCAGTCATGCTTCAGTGATTACCTATATAATTAACCAAATTTTCCTGACAAAAGGGCCCCCCCTGGATCTGCCATTGGTGAGTCCAGTGTCAAGTGACACTGGTGTTGTTGCTGTAAAGTTTGAATTATATGTGTTGATGACTCTAAACCTACCATGCAGCAACAGTGAAAACCGAGAACATACACATAAGTGCTAATCTTTTGATAAAAAATTATTTTCTAGTGTTTCATGGGATTATTGTCTCAACTGTATCTGACCAACTGTAGATTCATTATTATTTTTGGGGTAAAGATTTTCGTGTTAATAGGTAAACCATAAATTTAAAAGTTCAATGAAAGTCTAATTGTCTATTGGTTCGCATGCAGACTTTGGCCAAACCACGAAATTAAATATCCACGAAAATTGGTGTCCACGAAAAAAATAAATGAATCCACAGTATATCTTATACAATCCATTATCCTGAAGATTCTGAAATAGCATTTTCATATATATTTTTCTTTTATGTAGAACATTTTAAGAGTATTGTTAAGAGGAAAACTAAAATTAAATAAATTTAAGAGAATTATTTTTGTACAAATCTCGTAACAATAGATGTATTTACACTTGTATGCAAATTTGTCCACCATTACTTAAAATCACACAAGTTCCCATAAAATTGAACATCACAGTTTAAAAAAATTGACGTCATAATTAAAAAGTGATTGTTGCTTGACGTTAGAAAGTTATTCGGAGCAGATCTAAGGTCATTTGGAGACAAAATACCAAAAGTGTAAATACATTTATATTGTAGTGTTATATTACAAGTTTGTGCTTCTTCGAAACCTGAGCTTACCATTGTATGACAATGCAGTGCAGCTATTTGGAAAGTTCACAGACAGTAGAATGATGAATTCCTCTACATTATATTACATGATTGGCTGTCATAAAATGAAAAACCTTTGGATGGTTAAAATGGATTAGGGTAGTACTGTGGATTCATATATTTTCGTGGGTACCAATTTTTGGCGGGTAGAGAAAAAAATTGTATTTTCGTGGATACTTAACTTCATGGGGTACCTGTAGTGTGCAGACATGCCTATAGAAAAATTTGTACTATGTTGAATATTTATTTTTATGGTTCACCTTCCCACAAGTAATCCATGAAAATTGATATCCCACGAATAATAATGAATCCACCGTATCTCTTCTTGTTTTATTGACTTTTATTCTATTGTATTTTTGTTTTTAAAAAAAAAATAATTGAACAGTACCTAGTCAGAAATTAATCAAATGTGTTTGTGAATCTTGAAAGCCTAGTAAAAATGTGCAATATAAGACAATAATATGTTTCTTTGTTCACCAAAAAGTTTTCAGTGTTCTTTAGATACGTTCATTTCAATTTTTAGTCAACAATCTGTTTTGCTACAATATTGTACAGACTTGCTTGTTGCCTGTTTAGAAGTGCAACAATCTGTTTTGCTACAAAGACTTGCTAGTTGCCTGTTCAGAAATGCAACAATCTATTTTACTTCAAAGATTTGCTACTTGCCTGTTCAGAAAGGCAACAATCTGTTTTGCTACAAAGACTTGCTAGCTGCCTTTTCAGAAAGGCAACAATCTGTTTTACTTCAAAGACTTGCTACTTGCCTGTTCAGAAAGGCAACAATCTGTTTTGCTACAAAGACTTGCTAGCTGCCTTTTCAGAAAGACAATAATCTGTTTTGCTGTAAAGACTTGCTTGTTGCCTGTTCAGAATGTTCCATGTTTGATTATCTTTTATTATCTTGATCAATGCAAATCGTTTCTTTGTTTACATGAGTCCTATGTATGTATTAATGATATAGTCATATATTTATGAAATATATTTTATTTTATTTAATTTAAGTCTACTTTAGATGAAGACATTTGTTTATATCAAAGTAACTGATCAGTGCTACTGTGGATTCACTTATTACCGTGGATACCAATTTTCGTTGATTGAGGAAAAAATGTATCATAGTGGATATTTGATTTTGTGGTTTTGCCAATGTCTGCATACAAGCCTATAGAATATTTTTACTTTGTGGCCCATTTAAATTTTTGGTTTTCTTTTACCCAAGAAATTGACGAAAATTGGTTTCCCATGAAAAATATTAAATCCACAGAATTATGATATTAAAATATGATTTGTCTACAAACGGTTGTATGAGGGGCATTCAATTATGATTTTATAACTGAAAGTCTATTTTGACAAACAAAATTTTTACTTAAATATAATAACATTACATGTATGTTTCACGAGAATCCGTTAGTTTGATTGGCTAACAATAATCGATTGTCATTCAAAAATTAACCTTCATATCAAAATGAAATGTTACATGCTTCCGCGCTTCATACAAAATGTGTTTCGGTCAACACTTTTACACCCCAATAAAATTACAAAAAGAAGCATTCTCTTCACTACATAGATGAAATAATTAGAATTCTGTCTGATATCTCTTTTAAAATTCCCTTTTTTTGTAAATCACACATAAAAAGCAGAATTGTCCAAAGCCAAATAAATCCATGGCATTACATAGGTGGTTTTCTATGTAAAAATTCATAGAAAGGTACATTTAATTCATGTCTATGTCTTGTTTTCTCTATGAAATTCAATTTAAAATAAACCAAATTTCTGTTGTTGACTATTACTTTTATTTGTGATTGTTGTCCCGTGTACATTCACCCTTAATGTTCTTTCATTTAAATATATATTTGTATCTATTATGCGACATTGTCTTTATTATTTTGGCTTTAAAAAATCTATGCCCAGCTTTCATGAAAAGTAAAAAATAGTTGAAGGGGAAATGTCCACATTCCTGGTTAAACTGCAAGTAATCCTTTACTGACCAGTTCAAAGAGGTCTATCAGTTATCGCTATGTACCTTGGACCAATGAATTATTTGTCTGTTATGGGATGACTGGGGGTTTGCATGGGGGGTCCTTCCTTTCTTTATTCTTTAACTTTTTAGACAATCTTTCTCTATTTCTTATTTATTTTGACCTTTATTATCTATTATTTTTTATTATTATATGGCCCATTTTTCTCTATTCTTTATATTTTTTCCCCTTTATTCTGCACTCTTAACCCATTATTTTCTATTCTGTAAACCCCATTCAGACCCTCATGACTTTTGCAAGAAGGGATTCAAAATGTTATCTCTTCTTGACTCTCTTATTGAAATGATTTTTTTTTTCAAGGAATTGAAAAAAATTCCTAATCTGGATTCTGAAATCTCTGTTGATGTGTGAGTGTGTATGAGTGTTTCATTGAAACATTTTCAGAATTTATTATGTGTCATTTCTGCAATATTTCCAGTGAATTTATATAATAATGAAATTGTAAATTTTGAATCTCAGAAAAATTTTGAGATTTATTCTATAATAAAAGTAGAAAACGATGATTATGATTATTATGTTTTGAATTATTCAAAATATATATATGTCAATATGTAATTTTTTGTTTATTTTATGAGATGAAGATTATTATTAGTTTACAATGTTGTAACAAAGAAGGTCTTTAAGTCATGGAAACTTCCCTTTCAAGAAACACATGGTGAAAAACTTGGTAGTATTTAAAGATTTTATGCAAAATTATATTTTTAGAGCAACCTCAAAAAAGTTTTGCACCGTGAAGTGTAAAGAAAACTTTCAAGATGTATTTTATTTAAAAATGTTTTGAGAGTTTTGGGAAAAAGTGTTTTTTGAAAGGGATATTCCTTATTGTCTTCAGCAATTAGATTAAGCTGAGGAAAAATGGTTTTAATTTGTTAGTGCTATGTTAAGGAGAATAAAAAATCCTAGCTCTGTTCATATAATTGTCTACAAATTTTGCTGTCATAACAGCCTGGAGGAATTGTGTAGTTTATGTTATGATTTGAATACATTACTTTACATCTATCTCATTTCTATGTACAGTTCAATACAATTTCAGTATTGTGTCAAAAGGTATAGTGATTATTCATATTGTTATTTTAATGTGATTGCATGAAGCCAGAGTTGATCAATATTTATTTTAAGTTGACAATAAATTGTTGAAGCTGTTTCTTCTTTATTTATTTTTGTTTAACCCATTATGGTGAGGTTTAAGGTAATCTTGTCCATTTGCACATTTGTTTGTTCATTCATTGTGTGTGGTCCACACTTTTTAGTTCATCTGGTCTTATAGTCCATGTGAGCTGTTCCCATCACTTGGCATCATAAACTTCAAAAAATTTCAACTAAACTTGGGCTGAACAATCCTAAGTGTATCTAGAACAAAGTTTTGTGTCTTTTTTTGTTCCTGCCTATCAGCAAATCAACCAATATGGCTGCCATTGCTAAAAATTCGTAAGTGTTCCACGGAACCCAGTGTCTCGCCTATTTTTGCTGTTGTCTATGTTTTCAGTGTGATAGGGGAATGCACATAATAGATTTACAGTTAATGAAATAAAACGTATGAAATGTATGAAAAAAGTTATGCTTGTAAAAAATGAATACAGTATGCAATCAAATCTATAGATTTATAAAAGAGTTGAAACATAAATTTATTGAATGAACAAATGATAAAGAAGATGATTTTTACATTTTCCTCTAGATACTATCTTTTGATTGTAAGAAGCTTCTGTCCAAGTTTGGTAAAAATCCAGGATGGTTTATGAATCTAATAAATGTTTTTAAAACTTTTAACTGCAGACTGTATGTAATGTTAACTGGAAGAAAAACTAAGTCCATTTATAAGTAATATACGGAAAAACAGGAAATAAATTTTTACAAAATTGCCTTCTAGATACTAGCTTTTGATCATAAACAAGCTTCTGTCCAAGTTTGGTACAAATCCAGGACAGTTTAAGAAAGTTATTAAAATTTGAAAACTTAAACCACAGAGTGAATGTAATTTAAACTGGCAAAAAAACTAAGTCCATTTATAAGTAAAATATTTAAAAGGATTTTTTTTTTACAAAATTTACTTCTGGATACTATCTTATGATCATAAACAAGTTTCTGTCCAAGTTTGGTAGAAATCCAGGATATTTTAAGAAAGTTATTAAAATTTCAAATACTTTAACCTCAGAGTGAATTTTTGTGAATGCTGACGACAACACAATGTAGGATCGCTATGTCTTGCTTTTGCGACAAAAGTCGCAGGCTCGACAAAAATAGAATATAGGGGTAAAAATGCAAGTTATCATATAATATATATATATAAAAACAAGAGATAAAATACTAAGGGTGCAATTAAAAACCATTAGAAAAACTATAAGAAAATAAACATCTGTCCTCAAAACACTACACACCAGAAAACTAAAGATTAAGCAAAACATAAACCAGAGGAAACTTAGGTGCTTTTGAAGGGTCACCCCTCCCTGCTCAACTAGGGACACCCATTGTGTTACTCTTGTTACAATAAGTAAGTTTATTCATTAACCATGTTTAAATCATTGGTCAGAGAATTTGTAAAACAAAATTCACTGAGCCTTAAACTTGTTGAATGTGAAATTTGAAATGAAAACAAGATTTTTGCCTTGAAGCCGAAAATAGAAATTTAGCCATGCTGTTTCCGTCTGGGGTGTCAACAATGTATTATTTTGTGATTAGGTTATAGTACAAGAAAACTACTAGTGGTAGTTCAATGAGATTTGATATTCAGTTATATTAGCATTGCCATATATTTTATTTCCATTGAAATTATTTGGCCATGCATTCTCAGTCATGATCTATTGACTTTGAAACTTTTTTGCATACATTGTAGTTTATATTTTAAAGTTTGTGGTAAGGTCAGTTTAAGATGGACTACTATAAATGGTAAGTCAAAGATATTTGGTATGCAGTTGTATAAAGTATTTGCAGGTCTCATTGACTTTGAATATTTGCATAGTTTACATGTTAAAGTTTGTTTAATTCAGTTTAAGGGGAATCACTTATGAGAAGTCAATGGTATTTGCCTATTTGGTATGCAGCTGTATTAGCATTAGTGTTTCTCATTTCAACCGAGATGTTTTTGCACTGCACCTTTAGTCATGGTTCATTGACTCTAAACGCTTTGCATAGTTTCTGTACATGATAAAGTTTTGCCAATTTAATTTCAACGTTTGCCTTTATACTATCAAATTACATGAAGGCGAGACATATCTCTGTGTCAACAAACAAAAAATAGACTAGACCACAACTGGCAGAACAAATACAGACTTTAAAAAATGAAATAGCATAAGTACAACAATGAAAACTAAAGCAAAACCCCATAATACAAAACCAAGAATGAGAAGGTGCTCAGGAATTGTTGGTAGTTCCTGCTTCACTTGTGGCACTTTTTGTGTGGCTCTTGTCATGTAAAAATTTCAATGATCGATATCTATGCATCACTGATAAATAATTTAAGTCGTGGATTTTGTAACCATAAATTACTTAAAACTTTTATTAATTTTCTTTCGTACAAAAGTTTAGTTTTAAAGTTCGGCTGTACCTGTAGAATTTTACTTTTTAAAAACACAGGACATCACAGCCTAAATTTAAATCTAATATCGATTATAAAGCACGTTAATTTAAATACAATACATGTAAACTTATCCTTATAATAGAATTTTTAACACATTAAGATCTTTGAATATGAATATGGTTTTATCAGTACAGACTCGCTGAAATTGTTTGCACCTAAGTCAGGAATCTGATGTTCAGTAGTCGTCATTTGTTGATGTGGTTCATAAGTGTTTTTCGCTTTTAGCTTGGGCCAGGTGAGCTTTTCTCATCACTTGGCGTCCGTCGTTGTTGTTGTAGTCAGTCGTCCTTAACTTTTACAAAAATCTTCTCTGAAACCACTGGGCCAAATTTAATCGAACTTGGTCACAATCATCATTAGGGTATTTAGTTTAAAAAATATGTCCGACGACCCCACCTGCCAACCAAAATGGCCAACATGGCTAAAAATAGAACATAGGGGTGAAATGCAGTTTTTGACTTATATCTCTAAAACTAGAGCGGTAAAAATGTTTATCAGGTTAAGATCCATCTGCCCTGAAATTTTTAGACGAATCAGACAACCCGTTGTTGGGCTGCTGCTCCTGAATTGGTAATTGTAAGAAAATTTTGCAGCTTTTGGTTATTATCTTGAATATTATTATAGATAGAGATAAACTGTAAACAGCAATAATGTTCAGTAAAGTAAGATCTACAAATAAGTCAACATGACCAAAATTGTCAATTGATCCCTTAAGGAGTTATTGCCCTTTATAGTCAATTTTAAACAATTTTTCTTAATTTTTTTTCTCATCACTTGGCGTCGGTCGTCTGTCATCGTAGTCGTCGTCTGTCATCGTTAACTTTTACAAAATTTTCTCCTCTGAAACTATTGGGCCAAATTTAACCCAAACTTGGCCACAATCACCATTAGGGTATCTTGTTTAAAAAATGTGTCCAATGACCCCGCCTGACAACCAAGATGACCGACATGGCTTAAATTATAACATAGGGGTGAAATGCAGTCTTTGGCTTATATCTCTGAAACTAAAGCATCTAGAGCAAATCTGACATGGGTAAAAATGTTTAGCAGGTTAAGATATATCTGCCCTGAAATTTTTAGACGATTCAGACAACTCATTGGGTTGCTGCCTCTGAATATTGGTAATTTTAAGGAAATTTTGCAGTTTTTGGTTATTATCTTAAATATTATTATAGATAGAGATAAACTGTAAACAGCAATAATGTTCAGCAAAGTACAATCTATAAATAAGTCAATATGACCAAAATTTTCAATTGACCCCTTAAGGAGTTATTGCCCTTAATAGTCAATTTTTAACAATTTTTCGTAAATTTTTTTAATCTTTTACAAAAATCTTCTCCACTGAATTTACTGGGACAAATAGAATTAAAATTAGCCACAATTTTCAATAGGATATCTTGATTGAAAAATGTATCTGACGACCCTGTCATCCAACCAACATGGCTGCCATAGCTAAAAATAGAAAATAGGGATTTACTATAGAAGTCTAAGGGAAAATTGTAAAAAAAACAATTTCAAATGGTCACAACTTGAAAACTACTTTAAAAATGATAAGGGGTCTTCAGTAACTGCGAGTACTCTCAGATCTGTACTTAGTGTCTTTTTGTTGTTTGGATGTACAACTACCCGGCCACATCCACTTGTATTTGTAGTATTTGTATTTTATCCATCTGATGAGTTAAGCCTCTTTCAACTGATTTTTATAGTTCGTTCTTATATTGTACTGTTACACCACTGTCCCAGGTTAGGGGGAGGGTTGGGATCCCGCTAACATGTTTAACCCCTGCCACATTCTGTATGTATGTGCCTGTCCCAAGTCAGGAGCCTGTAATTCAGTGGTTGTCGTTTGTTTATGTGTTACATATTTGTTATTCGTTCATTTTTTGTACATAAATTAGGCCGTTAGTTTTCTCGCTTGAATAGTTTTACATTGTCATTTCAGGGCCTTTTATAGCTGACTGTGCGGTATGGGCTTTGCTCATTGTTGAAGGTTGTACGGTGACCTATAGTTGTTAATTTCTGTGTCATTTGGTCTCTTGTGGAGAGTTGTCTCATTGGCAATCATACCACATCTTCTTTTTTTATATTCAGTAACTATTGTAAGTCTAGTTACCAGTGGGATGACCTTCTTTTAATTTAACTACTGGGCCAAATTAAACCAAACTTGGCCTCACTCATTATTAGGGTAACTTATACTATTTATTTTGATTTAAACCTTATTTTACATGATTTCCAAAACCACAGAAGATACAGGTGAGCGACACAGGCTCTTGAGAGCCTCTAGTTTATATAAATTAGACCATTGGTTTTCCCGTTTGAATGGTTTTACACTAGTAATTTTTGGGGCCGTTATAGCTTGCTGTTCGGTGTGAGCCAAGGCTCCCTGTTGAAGACCGTACTTTGACATATAATGGTTTACTTTTATAAATTTTGACTTAGATGGAGAGTTGTCTCTGGCACTCATACCACATCTTCTTATATCTACTGAAAAATTATGGGCCTACATTTGTGTCGAAATTATGTACTTGCACAACATCATGCTTTTCTGCGACTTTTGATGACGTCTTT